GATACTGAGGAAGAAGAGTAAAATCTACCTCTATGGATAAGATTTTATTTTGATAAATCACAAATGCGTTAAGAAGCTTGAGATATGTTCTAACCCATCAAATGTAATTTGACATCTGTATCCAACAAAATCCTACATATGAACCCTGAATTCAAAGGTCACTTAGCAGCTGTTGCCATACTCAAAAGAAGAAACTCACAGTCCCTGAAAAGGACACTCGCTACAAAATTCTTGAAAGTAGTGTTTTCTAGTTGACCATTATTGTTCAATAACCTGAATGGTAAGATCCCACAGTTAGCCAACTCTATGTATGTTTACCAGTTCATATGCCCTTATGTAGCTAGACATATCAATCGCTTGATGTGGTTTTTTTCAAAGAGGGTGCAAGAACACAATCCTACGTGGTTACGAAGACGTGGAATTGGGGATATAAGAAGTGTAATAACTGAACATCTGATCGATACTGCTCATCTTATCTCTATAACCTCTTGCTTTAAAGCTGTCTACAGAGTGAAAAATAACCTACCAAAATCACTGCGTGCCCGACTTATCTGTATTACTGAAGCTTTGGCCATCGATTGTCGTTGAGACTATCGGTGGTATACCCAGTCCGAATCAATTCAAAACACTCGATTTCTGGCAGGCTACTTAGGCGAACTGCTAACAGCTTACATCAAATTCGCAATAATCTACACATTTCGAGGGGGTGGAATTTCACCTAACCAGAAATCAGTTCATTTGAACTGATTCGGTGGCTGTCTGAGCAGAGTTTAACCTCCTATTACATCGCTGATGACGTCAGCCACTAACAAGCGGCCATTCAGCGTTTACATAACATCGACCCAGCTAGCAAGCATCACTGGTAGTTAATGTGAGTGGTAAGCAAATACACTCATCAAAACCAATCAGTAGTATACGGTCTTGTAAGGTTGTGCTTGCCTCCTTGATTATCACTTATAGGTATCGAACAGATGTGAGAGATTTCTGGTTTCCAAAAGAAAACTGTGGTGAAGTTTTGCCTCCTTGAAGTGTTTAAACTGCAAATTGAAAATTTAAATTAAGCCAGAGATACTTATCCAGTAAAAAGTATGTTCAACCTTATCCCCCATTGTGGTCTTAATCAATCTCTGCTAAATTGATATAAGGATAAAACTTGGGCACTGTGGTAGAGTATAATTCTATTATGGACAAAATTTTGTCTTGATAAAGTCACACAGTGTTGTTATACTGTGACATTTACTGACGATGTTTCGAGCACAATTTATTGCTCATAATCATATCAAAGCACTACTCACGCAAATTTCTTGCTTCATTTATATACATGAGTAAAAATTCATGATTAGACATTTGAATAAAATCAATATAAGATGAAGTACATCCGGAAATAATAATATTAGTGTTATCAATAAAATACAATCAGATGGGAAATGAGATGTTTTTATAGTAAAAATAAGTAACTTGGTGGAATGTTATAATGTGTGAATTGAAGTACACTATAAGATTACTTATTATCCTCTTCTGATTTGACTGGTGGTAATAATATCTTTCATATCTCTGGTATTTGCATTGAGTCATTTCCGTTGCATGTTTTGGTATGTAGACTCGATGAACCAGGATTCAGTAATCAATCTCTCTACCAACCTACATATATATTACTTCTTAGAATCTTAACCCTCTCCCACCCTATTGTGTGGTAGTGTCTTAATGTATGCAGTTAAATTGTTGAGCGTTTCCCAAATTACTTATCTTAACGAGTGGGGTCAATCATTCTAACTTTAGCTAAACTCTTATGTTCTGACAAGCTGACTACCCCCGATCTACTAGTTTGACCTATGTAGTTGACCTCACAGTCATTGCAAGGTATTTTGTAAATTATATTATTTTGTTTAATTGGGTCAGCAGACAGGGTCCTTTAGCCTACAGAGCTTGTCCGTGAATGAGTTCGTAAGTTTGAATGCCACTCTGATTCCTGTTTTATTAAGAATCCTACGTGTGGTCTCAGATGTCCCCTGCTTATATGGTAGAACTGTGGATGCCTTATATTCTTTCTTATTTATGTTATCATTATTAGTTTCACCAATTATTTTTATTTTGCTTTTGACCTTTTTGATATTCCTAATGATTCTATCTGTTTCATTTCATCATTTAGGTCTTTTTTGTGCTACTTAGTGCTACTACTCCCTTTGTTAGACACTCAAATGAGCCTGCCTTCAGAGACAGATAACGGATGAGATGAATTAAAGTCTAAATATCTGTTGGAATGCGTTGGCTATTTATAAACGCTAGTGTGCAGTTTACCTTCTTCTATTCGTTTTATTTTACAATCTAACGCCGTAACTAATTCTCCTTGTTCATTTTCTGATTCAAATGTGAAGTTTATTCCCTCTACTAGTGAGTTTATATGTGTCAAGAAGCTGGATATATGTTCTGTTTTTAACACTAAGTGATAGTGTCATCCACATATCTCCACCATAGTTTTAGACTAGCATTAAATGCATTAAGAGCAATATTTTCCCAGCTGTTGATAAAGATATCTGCTACGACAAGAGATACTGGTTATTTATTTCACAATATATCTAATCAATTTTTACACATGTATATAAATGAAGCAAGAAATTTGTGTGAGTAGTACCTTGATATGAGTATGTGCAGTAATAAATCATGCTCGACACGTGGTCATCAGCAAATATTGCTCTATAACAACATTGTGTAATTTTATGGAAATAAAATTTTATCCACAATGGAATCTCTGCTAGGACTATTATAATCCCCATTCTTACTTTGACTCTACTTACTTCCAATCGGTTTTGTTTATTCAATCTGTTAAATCCATCCCTTATTATTTCGAGTGATGTTATGATTATTTTCACTTTAAACTGTGATGAATGCTACTTATAATCAGATATAAGTAGTATATTACTAAACGAATTCAGAAAAGTAACAATATGTTTTGGGGCACTGGAAAAAGGAATCGAAGAACAGAACTGTGAGAAGAACGTTAGAAACACTGTACAGAGTCAAACAAGCTATCAAATGTGGTGATATTCGCACAATTTTCAAATGATGTGCAAATGAAGACTTAAAGATAAGGTATACCAAATTTATGTACCTACACAGAACGTCGAGTCTCATCGATCTTTTCTTCCTTACAGAACAATTTACGGTATCATCTTACTCGTCACCCTTTATTTGTTGCTAGTGGATGGTTGGAGGCAATCAGCAAGAAGCAACACCTGATCTAGGTTTCGTGCTAGTCGGCACTCGTCAGCAAGGCATATCTGCAGTCTTGATGGAACTCATGTCCCTTCTGATATTCGAACCAGCCTTGCTGATGAGTACCAGTCAGCACGAAACCTAGCTCTAAGACTTCTTCCCGATTGCCTCCAACCATCTAATACTAACAATTCACGGTGCACCGTGATGGTGAGCCACCTAGTGTCATGGTGGCCACATTGCAAGCCTGAATGATAGAATTCAGTCTGCACCGAAGATAGGACTAGACATATTACACTAGTTACTGACTAGTGTCCGATCAAAAAGCCACCCTTTATTTACTTAATTCAATATAACATTACTTCTCAATGTTTATCTCATCATAATTATCACCGCGTTGCGTAATGTTTTAATTGCCTACAGAATCTTATTCATTCAACTATATACACCCCCTTCTAGGATTTGTACATCCCACCTATGGACTATTTTATTAAGTATATAACCAATTCAATTTGTCGCTTTAAGTTTAAATACGATCGCGATCAATAAATCACTTGGTCTAATTTTTTTAAGTCAAATGGCGGCCTGCAAAAAACTTGGGCTACCAAAAACTTCCGACTCTCTTTCTCTCTCTATTGCATATAATTTCTCTCTCGTTCGGTTTGTTTTGATCCATTAAGATATGACCTCTAATGGTATTATTACCCACTCTTGTGTGTATTTAAAATGTTTACAAGCTTCTGATTTGCCAATCCGTACTAAACTTGAGGAATGGTATGTGATTGTGGGATGGCAACGTGTTCCAATACATGAGATAATTGTTCTTTAATTATGTCTTTGGTTCTCAAAATGTACTTCTAAACGTCTCTTACAATTGGCTCTCAACCAGATATCGTGGGTGGATTTCTTAAAGGAGAATGACAAAGCAGATATATGTGTCATAATGGAATGGTTTGTGCTTTAGCGCTCAGAGACCATTTTGTCACAGGAAGGATATACTGTCAATTCATTACTTTTTTCAAGTATTGGTTTGTAGGGATTTGATTGGTTACAGGATTTCATCATGAGCTGACATTGGTTAGAGAACCATTGGAAAACCCGGGAGTACTGGACAGCTGTTTCGTCAGCCTAATTTGGGACTCTTCAGCAGTACGCACCCACCAGGTATTGTAGGAAGGGAAAATATCATGCAATAAACTCCTCTGAAAATATCTGTACATTTTATAAATACTGTCCACAGTAAAGATGTTACTATCGTGAATTCCAGAGGGTGCATACTGATGAAGAGTCCCATACCAGGACGAAACAGATGTACATATCCAGTACCCCTTGGTTTTCCAATAGTTTCCACCAACTGATGCCAGCTAGCGATCAAAACTGATAATGAAACTGATGCGCACCAGCTTACTGACTACTCCATACAGGAATAATCTACCTAGAGCTCAAGTGAGAAATCGTAACCAGTGGGATCCACCCACCAATTCAAGTAGGAGAACAGTTACTCGCCTCTATGATATAGGCTAGCGGTTGTGCTAAATTATGCAACGCGAATTGGCAGGAGTTAGAATCCATGGTCCACGAGATCGCCTTGTAACCTGAAGATCCCCAGAGTTTAAACCCGGTGGTGAGTGAGTCCTGTTGAAGAGTTGCATGCTAAGAGGGGAAACAACCCAGCTGCCCACCCACCAGTACACTCCTTCCCGGTTTGGTTTCTAATGTCACTTCAACTGATGATGTCAGTTCATCACTGAACCCGTCGTAACAAATCAAGAAACAACAACAACACATCAGAGTTTGTCCTTTCTTATTAAAACAGCCTTTTTGACAATTTTTTTAAAAAAAAAGAGAGAAGAGAAACAGGGAACAAAGAAGCACCGAAAAGAGAACTTTATCATAATGGCGACACAAAAAAAATAAAGTTAAAATCAAAGCAATAAAAAAACAACGATAACAATTAAATTTACACTGCGAAACAACGTGTTCGTTCTTATGTGTGTGTGGGGTAGAAAAATCCTCACCCCCCCCCAACTTGAAAAATAAGGCAGGCGTCAGTGAGTGATCTGACACTGATTCGGCTACATATGATGGATGACACAATTAAGCGTCTTATCGCGATGAATTATCCTTGAAAACAATCAATCAATATCAGTCAGTCAGTCAGTGGCGTATCTTTTCAAAAAGGGGAACAAGAAGAAGAAGGGACGATTGTGAAGTGATGTGTATGTGTGCACATATATATGGTACATATATATACGTAGATATCACAGCTGATTCAAAATACCGAATATTACAACAACACTAGTCAATTTTACTTTACAATATGTATAGAAGAAACCGTAATTGTGAAGAGGTTTACACATTCTTCAGGCGATCAAAGGCAATCCGCTACTAGCACCGGTGTTGCCACCACCAGACGCATTCAAATCTGTTTTACCCGCCATCATAGCAGTGGGCCATAAATTACTGAATACTTTATTCTTCACGGAAGTCTTGATAACTGAAAGCATATTTGAAGCATTTTCATTGATATTACCACCGCCAATCCAACAACGTAGATAACCATAAACATTAGCCAAGTTCATGCACAGAGCAATACAACATACTAAACCCCAACGTAGATGTAATGAAAATACAGCTGCTAGTAGAAACATAAACCATAGTGTAGGACTTGTAAATAAACCAATCCAAAATAAACGAGCCAACTGTTGCCTAGCAACACGAGCAGCCAATTCACGACGACTCAGTGTTGACATGTCCACAGTGTCTATCGGAGATGGTTTACGTGAATCATAACGCCAGTGTAGTGTCCCCTGTTCATCTGTATAACTTGACCAACGTAGACCAACGAGGATACGTCCAGAGATGTTTTTCACTACCCAAAAATCTAACGATAAACAAACCAATATGAAGATGAATGGTACAATGAATGAAGCGGTAAACCATGCACATAGGATGTAGATAATCAGTGCCAGGGAACGAAATAAGAAATGACCGATTAATGCTAAACGTTTTGTTGACTGGCTATGAGGTCCACCGGATGAAGATGATCCAGTATACATATCATCTGTTAGGGCTAATACAACTTCATCTCTTGAATCCATTATTCTGTAAAATAACACACAAAGTTATTGATAATATTATCTGTGTAGGAGAGAGAAAAAAAAATCAATGAGAAGTGATAGATTATAAAAGATATTACTACAAAACTATTTGAGCAATAAAGCCAACTACTGAGACTGTCTGTTTTCGATATAGAACTTTGCACATATGTACGGCAGTTTAATTCGCCACACTCCATGTTGCACACAAAGCAAGAGAAGAAAGTAGGAGAAATGCATATTAGAGACAGTAAACAGAGGAACAGTAATAACGGAGAACAAAACAGTTTCATTGGAAATCATAAGTCACAAGGAGTGGATGCATCTGCACCAGCCACTGAGAACGATTTTGAGCCATGTCACCAATTGTTTCCAACCATTGGTTTTTACCGTCCCGAGGAACCCAACCAGCCAGCAAGTCTACACCTCCCTATGTGGCTTAAACTAACTGTTGTGGATTTCATTGACTGGTGCCATGTTTTGGTTTGACCGCCGCTAGCTCTTTTCCAACCTGACTCTATGTTAGCTAACATTGACCGTCGAGGAAGGCGATGACTAGACATACGTAACACATGCCCTAACCATCTCAGTCGATGTAATTTCACAGCTTCGTCGATTGATTTCCCCGCCTTACCTAGCACTCGACGCCTCACCTCAATATTACTCACCTTATTATACCACTTCAAGCGGGAAATAGAACGCAGACACCTATGATCGAAGACGATTCCATAAATAGATGATTAGATCAAATCTTAAAAGTTACATAATACTAAAGGTGAAGTGAACAGCTAGCTAGAATTTAACTAAATATGATAAAAGTAGGAAGGACATGGAAAGTAAGGGAGAGTGGAGGGTTTTTATGGTAGACTAATTGAGCAGAAGAGAGGATGATTCATTCAAGAAAAATGTCTGTAGAAAACCCACATCTGTAGGACAATATACACAATTCTTCAGTTTTGTACCCATTCAATACAAAATCAATTTGATCAGATACCTCACGAATAGAGCAAGAAATATCTGTGTACAGATGACTGTCTAGAAAATGAGCTAGGATATATCCAAAATACGCTGGTCCAAATGGGTTATCCTAGTAGATTCGTTAGGAGACACATGAACACCAGGTAAAATAAAGAGAAACTGACAACAGTTAAAAAGAAACAACTGTTCCTAAAATTGCAATTTAATGGGGATGTGGCTAGTGAAATCCTACATCTAACATAATCGAGAGCAATAAAACAGACTTGTATTGCTCCCACCCTTTGTTTGTCATTTTCCAACCGACCAGTTATGATTACTCAAGCGAACGAAATGCTACCTAGCTGTGCCACTTCTATGTGCTTCTAAAAATTTAGTTGCGGAGAAAGTTATATAGGACGAAAAACTAGACAGCTGGACAAACGTATTAATGAGCATTTTCTTTCATGATTAGAAAAAAGCCAAATAAAATATATAAGAAGTTTTATTTTGACTCATTTGATTGCTGATAACGGTCACCAAGTGGAAAGAAGAAGTGCGTTCAAAGCTATCTATCGCATTTCAATGAAACTTGAACCCGCCTTTTACATATATATATATATATATATATATATATATACATAACACCTAAGGGGTATGAAGAATTCCGAACTCATACTGGCACTCTTCTTCTACTAAATATCAGGCGAATGAGATGAATTCAACAATCAGAAAGACAGTACCGACTGAGTTTCAACATAAAACTTTACACAGAAGTACAGCAATTTAACTTGCCATACTCACTCCATGTAGCACGCAAAAGTAGGAAAGAGAGACTAAAAATGAGATTCTAAAGAACCACAACCAGCAGGAATGTGTTCGAGAAAGAATAGTAATATGAAAAAGCAGGAGAATATAAAGGATCTCGTTATTATAAGGTGTGCATGCATCTGGCCCATTGAGGACGATTTTCAGCTATATTACCAAGAGTCTCCAGACATTCATTCTTAGCGTCCTGAGGACTCCTACCACCACATGATCTACACCTCCCTACGTGACCCAAACAAGGCCGTCAAAAACTTCATGGATTGGAGCCATGTTTTAATTTGAACACTCCCCACTAACTTTTCCAACTTAATCCTATGTCGGCCGAGACTACCCATCGAGGAAGGCATGAATAACATGCATCCTAATCATCTCAAAAGATTCACTTCCACAACCTCATCAATTGACTCACCATCCTTACCTGATGCTCTACGCCTAACTTCGATATTACACACCATATTGTACCACTTAACAGACAACTACTGGGAATTCCTTTAGATCTAACAAGATGATTTACTATAGATAAGGGGTAAAATTTCTGCCACTTTCTTCGTATGGTTGTATTCTTTTACCAAGGTGTGTGAATTTTGAATCTTAGATTGCCTTTCTAGACAAAATTGTCAGCGGTGACTTAAGTGTGAGGTGAATTCCCTGGTATTTTTAGTCTTCACACTGTAAACATTTCTACATCCTCCCAGTCAAATTGATGTTCATAAATGTCTACATTTACTAATATGAAAAAATATGTATGTCGTGCCTTTTGACAGACAGCCAGCCTAGCTTCAGTTCTTGGATTTGTACAATTTATTTTGTACATGATATTGATCTTGTTTTCACTTACTGTTGGGTCTTTTAGACTGCATAGTATTGAACGGAGTGATTGTCTTGGCTTGTGTACGATATCTATTCCGAAATAGTTTTAGTCAATAAAAATGAGGAACACCAACGCGAACTAACAGAAGTTACCAGAAGACACAACTATATTATTTAGGGAGAATTAAAAAACAAGTTCACTTATTCATTCTAAAAAGTTAGAGACGAAAATGTCGTCCAGAATGGAGTAATGAAAGCTTTGTAACTAAAACCAATTATCTCAGGAAATACAACCACATTAAAATCGTCCACTTGAGATGGTTAGGACATGTGTTACGCATGCCTGTCTAGCCATCGCCTTCCTCGACTGATGGGCAATGTTTGCTGACATAGGGTCAGGTTGGAAAAGAGCCGGTGGTGGTCAAACCAAAATATGGAGGTATCAGTCGACCAAATCCACAACAGTTGGTTTAAGCCATGTAGGAATCTGTAGACTTCCTGGTTGGGGTCTTCGGGACGGTAAACACTAATGGCTGGAGACAATCGGTGATATGACTCAAAATCGTCGTTTTCAATGGCTGGTGCAGATACATCCACTCCTTGTGACTTATAATTTCCAATAAAACTATAATGTTCTTCGCTATTACTATTCTTTTTGTCTCATATCTCTGTTTACTGTCACTATTTTGCGTTTCATTTTACTTTCTTCTTCTTCTCTAGCTTTGTGTGCTGAGTAAAGTGTGGCGACTCGAACTGCTGCACATCGGTGCAAAGTTCTATGTTGAAACCAGTCACTCAGTTAGTCAGACAAATCTCTATTATTTTAAAGTATCCACAGACTGTAATTATTTATTAAATTATTTGTACAGTCATATGGAAAACATGCAAATATAAGGGTTCGGCACCTAATTAAATCTCTGCAAAAAATCTAAAGCAAGTAACCTTTTAAACCTGATTTCATCGGTAAAGCAGTTTTCATTAAAAAAAAAAACAATAAAAAGAGGTGGAATGCAAGTATAGAGCACTTGATGTAAAAGTTTATAAAAAGTCATCTTAAGTCAATACATCATATTGTACTTCTCATGGAGTTTCATCTCATTCCTAAATCAACATCATCATCTGTAGCTTTTCATGCACTAGGCTATAAGCCACATGTGGTGAATGAGGAATTATGATATTATACTCTTCGGCAATTAGATATGAGGAGAGACATGGGGGTTTAAAGAATGGATCACATGTGCATCTGCCATATACACACCTTTCTCAAGATAACACTGCTCTCATCTTCCAAAAACGGAAAACATTCTGATATTTTGAAAATGGTTCGTAGTAAACAAAAATATTTCTGTTATATAATATGAAATAATGCACTTGCAGTGAATCTTTTTAACATGATTCTACCGTTTAATGAGTGTAAGTGCTAATGTGTAACTTCTTAAAGCATCAACCATTCAATAAAATGTTAAGATATTCAGTCTATACACTCGTTTCAAGAAAATTCTTTCCCCATTTCTCGTGTAGTATATTTACAAAAATACTGATTTTTCTTGACCTCTGATTCGCACGCTGACATGGATTAGTTTATTAGACATGTTAACAAATCTTGTCTTCAAATTAATTCTGTCTGTATCTATGCAATTCTCCATCAGATAGATTGGGTAAACAGATAGATAGATAGAGCTATACGTGACTCATCTGTGGTTTAGGTTGCCACATATCACATCACATCAATAAATGCCAATCAATATACAATATTTCAAACCATATTTACCTAAAAATTACTACATAAAACAAGGAGAGTAACTACTTCATCCACTTAAAATGTAATTGAACTTCTTAGTCTAGCTTATCATATGGGGTTTTTTCAATGTTATCGTCCAGCATGATTTAGTTAGAACTTGTTATTAAAGTTAGCGGTAGTAATCACTTTCGAGGAGAAACTACGTCATCACAGAAATATAAACTTATGAGACCAATGCGAAATATTTGGTCTACTATATCCAGCCCTAAAAACTAGAAACGGCGATCAACGTTAAACTACCTACTATTTCAGGAATTTGCATCCCACAACTGTGAAGAATGCAGGAGAAACATTATGGCAAAAGGAATATGACCACAAAGAAAAAAGGCTGAAAATCTTCCGAATTGAGGTTATGAGAATAAAAGCATTGGTCCTAAGTTACGTTAACAAGAATTTCTGCGGGTTTATTCTAAACACCTTGACTTCACAACGTAGCTCACACTAAATGATTATCCGCGCCTAGTTTTCTTCTAGTCTGTTCTTATTTCTGTAAACACTTCCACAAACAAAGGAAGTGACTCAGGTATCCCACAGCAGTCAAGGTCTTTATGCTATCGTTAAACCATGGAAACAGTGCTGACACGATGCGAGCCTAAGCAGTTGAATACATTGTCACATGGAAATATGGAACTAATAGTACTTAATATTGTCTGATTGAAGCCGCTTACAGTGACTAACCTCTCACATGTCTTCACAACATATTTTTTTAAAGCAAAGGTAAGAGGGCTAGGCGTTTAGAAAAAGAAAAATCTATACCCATGTTGATGCACCCAGTTAAGTGGAGTTGACAAGTAAAAGTATCTAATATTTGGAAACTGGAAACTGCTTTATGCAAGCAATGGTTCCAGAGCATTTTAATACAGAACCTTACAACTCCTCCTGAGGAAGAACAAAAGCTGTGCACATTTTTTATCGACTACATTAAACAGCCGTAAAGTCGGGCTTCCACACAAGTTTATATGAACTCTTCGCAAAACAGCTTTCATGTATTATTGATAACGTCTAGAAATAATCTTTGAATAACTTAAACAAAAACCACGTATTCTTGACTTTAACTTAGAAGTAGAGTACCTAAGTGAAGATTTCAAGATTCAAAACCATATGAAATCGAGTAACTATAAAAGTTTGAAGTGTTGCACGACACAAAACATCTGTCAAAAGCAAGAATGCCGGTTCCAAAAAACGTGATCTCTCTTAGACACACTCCAATAAGTGAAAGAAATATGAAACAAACCCGATGGCTATGTTCTTCAATCATGACCTCAGTCTTACTAAACCCATTATAAATAAATTACTCCTCGCGTCGGTGTTATTATTTATAACTTGCACAGAATAAGACGAACAGCTGAACTTACTGTAACTGGATAATTTGCACAGTAGAGAAAAAAGGGAAGACAGAGATACAATTTTAGGCTAGATTCATATTCTGAAAGGAACACGCATCTACGTTAGCACAGAACGAATCAAAAGGAGAACTGACTGCAGCTGTGATCAAGAGAGGTATGTATGCCTACTAAGTGTGCAACTTGCTTTTTCTCCCTTATTACTAAATCAAAACATTTCAGAGGCCACAGCAAGAGGATTCATATGTCATTGCATTACGGTGGGGGACTGACTCCACTGTTGAATCATTTACCCTGGGAACAAAACAACAGAAGTATCTGGATCCTGTGAGGAATCCTTTACGAGACTATTGGGCGAATACGGCACTAACATAGACAAAATAACTTCTATCTTCAATCAGAAAATTCGAATATGAATCTCTGAATAATGGTGTGCATAAACGTGAGAAAGTCGCGGCGACCAACACTAGTCTTGTCTCTCACTTCAACCTAACCATCCCACTCATTGCTAGAGAGGAATCAGACTCAGATTCATGCAAAATTTCAAGTCTACGAAAGCAATATATGCCGACGTAACTACTATCAAAATTGAAGGGAATATTGTGATGACGTAATTGCAATCTCCTTTCAATCACCCTGGCACTAATCAAAAAGCCTGCGCAGATGCAAAGACCTCTCATAATTGTTAAAAAGCGTGAATGAGAGCAAAATAGGTGCAGTGAGAAGGGCTTACCACAAATACAGTCAACGTGGCGCAAAATTTACAATTTGCGGTGTAACTGTCCAAAATCCACTGTCATCTTCACTAACCAGTAAAAACTATATCAGTTCCTTTACACCACTAACTTGTTTGCGGAAAGAAAGTTCCAAGCCTCCTCTATGGCTCTGTGTGGTCAGTCACACCAGTCATGTTCCGTAGCTTTGGTGAATCCAGAAGGAATAGGGAGGCTGGTTAGATTTGAAGGAGAATTTGTTGTTTGTGATAGCTGCATTGTCCCTTTGTTAACCATGTCGAATAATGTTCAGAGATGCTTTCGGAAAGCGTGCGCTTTGTGCGGCCAATATAACTAGCTCCACATGCATAGGTGAATTTATAAACATACATTGAAGTGGCAGTTTAATCCTCACACATCCATTGATCATTTGTCGGCTGTGGACTGCGAAACATTTTTGGTAAATATAAATACTACTGTACAGCCTGTGAGGATGATTTCGTCAATAAAGAAAACTTTCTTCGCTGAATTTGTCCTTTATTTTCTTCATAACCAGAACTCTTCCTAATTTCCCATAATACCTGTGTGCTATCATACATGGAGGCCCACACCATCGCTTCACATCTCAAGAGAGACTTCAAACTCTTAGCTTAGGTTCAAGGTAGAGTAACAGAGGAGATATAAGTTATTAAGAATGAAATTTTCGATGGAAGGTTGATAAAATTAAGTCTTTTAACCAATGAATCAGTAGAGGTTTAAAGACTGTCCACAAAATAACACATTGATAGGGTCGACAAAATAAGGTGATCTTGCCACAATACCGAAACTCAAGAATATTTCATTGACATTTACCCAGACTTCTAACGTTCTCGAGTCTATCTGTAGCTTTCCTAAGTCATCCAAACCGCTAATAGCTCTCTAAATATTAGTGTAATTGACTCTAAGCACAGCTACGAAGCCTAGATTGTACGAGAAGTCTTTTATGAATAATTAAAACGGTCAAGTCGGAAACATATTAGGATATAGAGTACAGAGCCGCCTATTCGAAGTACCTGCAGATTTACAGACATTCTCCATTCAATGTCCTAAAGCTGCTGCAAAAGCCTGTTGTTATGGTATCTGCGGGCACGGAGCTACAAAGACAGAGATTGGCATCGGAGCCTACTGGCTGATTTCAATTCATCCTATCTGCCATTGTCTAGTCGTTGGATCCCATAGTGAAATTTGCCTTCCAAGTGTGTCCGACTTTTCAGTGGCACCACTGTAGAGTAAGCAGGGCTTAATGCACGTGAAACCTAACTCTTCTCTGATAGTTTGACAAAGCAACCTCTATTTCAATCACTAAGTAGCTCTCCTTCCAGACTTCCAGCAACAGAGCTGTGAGGATAACCTCTGACTTCTCTCTGTCTGTTTCCAGTTCTTCTTGAGAGATTCCGTCTGCTCCTGAATGACAGTAAATACTAGGCACAGAAAAGGAATCTCACGAGCATGACAGAGATGGTCACAAAATAATCCATAAAAGAGAGCCACCTCTTCATGACCTAGCTTTTCGAATATTGCGACTGTGGTGTCAGCTGATCAACAGCTCTGGGGATGAGGGCACATGCAGACAACTTTCTCCTGTAGGATGGCACTACCTCTCGCTAAGGCTACTGGCTTAATAGTAATAATTTATATTTCTTATAAACGGGTAAGTTTACAAGAAATGCATGCCATTTTTACAGGCACGATCAGTAATGTTATAAATTACAATCCTAAAGTATCATAAATTGATACTTTTTCAAAAGTTTGAATTGTTCAATTCTTGTACAAGCAATCAGAACAAGTTCTTATAAATGTTAAATTGTAAACCGTTTCCTAAGGTCACCACCAAAGTTGAGCGACAACTCAAACTTCGTTCCGTTTCCTGCTGATCGTTGTGGTCAACAAGTGAAGAGCGTACATCTGGGTGAGTGCTACGCCGCCACGTGATTGTACGCTATTTCAGGAAGAGGAGAAAATTCTGCGCAGCTGCAAAATGGTATAAAATGTGATTATGAATAATAATACATTATTAGAAGTATATTTACAAGATAAATACAAGGAGAAGAACCTTTATAGTACTTGAAATGATAATTTACATTTGCAATGTTTCATGCTAACCATATTGGTCTAAGCATGGAAACTATCACGTTTTCGATGAAGACATAGCTTTGTTCAAACATTGGTGCTATTGAGTTTTAATCAAAACAACCAGACTTTGGGCAAGCAACAAATATGAACAAAGAGCAAATTTTAGCTTCAACAAAGGCCCAGGTAGTCAGCATAAAGTAGAGTATAATAGTGCTTAAATAAAAAGATTATTGTGAAGTAGGTAAGTGATATTTAAGTGAGGAGTGAATTCAAAGATCTAAAAAATTAGAACCCATAAGACAAGCTGACCTGTAAGATGTCTCACGAATTTCTGTAGGGCCCAATGGGTAGCATCTTGACAAGAAGCCGAACAGGCTTGTAGATGGTAGGAGCGAAAAGCACAACAAGAGGAAAAATGACTGAAGATCGGCTTTTGAGTATGGACTGTCTCGCTACAAGTACGTGGCATGGGCTTGGTATTTCAGACAGGCACAGCGGCACGCGCACTACCAACCCTATTTACCTTCCGCTTCTTATTCACATAATTTTTGCACTCTGACCTTTGGGTGTAACATCTTTCTCATTATATTTTCATGCATCCATTGGACACATTACCACTTTATTGTGTTCACCGGACCCTCAGAAAGTCCACGATGGACTCCAAGTAACACTGCTTATGTAACCATACAAACAATATTGTCTCTTCTTGCCTATGAAACTCCGCAACTCACTTATTCTTCAGGATACGTACCAAAAGTAGGCCTGATTGTAAGTAGTGATGTCATTAACTATTCCCGATCTTTGACACTTATGACCTATGCGAGTAACATAGGAGGCAATGATCATTTCTGTTTCAGATTAATCATTTAGAGACCAACATTAACGTGTATGGGACAAAAGAAATTGGCTGAGTCGACTGAACCTAGGTCGTTTAACCGTCAACGATTAGTTCGCTTAACCGTGGAAACTGAAGCACACGGAAGTCAATACAATTTTCGAGGGACAAGAGCTCGGTGGCGGCGTTATGGTGTGACTGTGTGACTGCATAATTCATTCCCACAATCGCTAATAAATACACCTGTGAGCGGCCGTGATAGCTGTATTCTGTATTCACTAGATGGGGTAGTGCTAAGGAAGGCCTGGCCTCCAAGTTGAGCAGGCCAGGCTAAAGAGTCGGCAGGTAGTGTGACTGAAACCCCGGGTCTGACCAGATAGGTGGCCACACAAGGATCTTGAGAGGTATATCCAGGTGAAGCTGATTGGAAACTAGTTCAAAGTCATTCAAGTAGCGTAACTAGCCGATTTTATTCTCTAAAATCATCCATCCGAATTCTTGACATATATCCAGTAAAACAGCCCCCAAATGCATGATTTTAGAGAATCACTTTACCAAATAGTACAACCACAAACACACGCTTTATCATATCAATATATCGAGATTACATAGGTGTTCGAATAAAGTTTATGCAGCGTTGGATGGGTAGTGTCACTCGTTTGGTCGCTTAAGGCTCCATTCAAGATTCATTAGCTAAATATAACTGTCTCCCCCAAAATAACTCACAACAAAAGGCACCAGACAAGGGCCAGGCAACAGATCGTTTATTGAGAAAATCAACAGATATTTATAGATTTTCATGTATATTATTATTGGCGTTATTGTTAGCAGAGAAGCAACATCTTCTGATTGGTTGTTTTCCTTTTTGATGTGGTTGTGTTTTCTGAGCTGGGTAGTTAGTTTGTGAAGCTTTCATCACCCTACTAGGTGACATCTTCAGCATATACTTCAGTTTGAAGTGAGCTTTTAGATTTCTCCACGAGTTTATTAATCATCTCTCCCAGTGACCTTGGATGTGATTGGTTGTTTTTGTGCGTTTTCACACCTTCTAAGCTGCTTGTATTGGAACTGACTGTTTCTTTGACTTGAACTTTGACCCTTTGTGTGTGAGATTTCACACCCGATCTCAATCGAGATTGACAAAATTTATCAACCGGCAAGAAAGAAACCCTACACACAAAGGGTCAAAGTTCAAGTCAAAGAAGCGATCAGTTCCAATACAAGCAGCTTAGAAGGTGTGAAAACGCACAAAAACAACCAATTACATCCAAGGTCACTGGGAGAGATGATTAATAAACTCGTGGAGAAATCTAAAAGCTCACTTCAAACTGAAGTATATGCTGAAGATGTCACCTAGTAGGGTGATGAAAGCTTCGCAAATTAACTATCCAGCTCAGAGAACACAACCACACCAAAATCATCCACCTGAGCCACAAATCTCTTCCATCATATCCAAATCACATGTGCTGATTACAACCTAAGTTAAAACCTTGACTTTCGAACTATCGGTGCGTATTTCTTGGAGGTGATGGACAAAGCTAAGGGATTACTATGTACTTTTGGGCTCACAGCAGTAAGTAACCTGATATACTACAGATTGCTATTTTACCTGAAAACCCCAGATTGGAGGAAGATATTATGCAATAAATTACTCTGAGGATTCTGTACGTTGCGCAAACGTATGCAAATGGCGTTACAAGACTAGAATTTACAGGTAGTTTGACGCACATATATAGTTCATACTTCATTTCATGCGCGGTTAATGCAACAACTATAGATTGTCGTCGTATCGATGAAAATCATGGGGATAATTCACCAGTGAATACCAACACTGAAGTTTCTGGAGTTCGGCCAATCAGTGGTGAGAATAGTTCGACTTAAATTATGCACCGATTCAGACGAAACACTGCTAATAATTGAGGTCGACAATCGTCCAATAGACGCCACCATTGACTGCAGAATGTCTGAAACCAGTCTCCTTAATAAAATTGGCATCGGAGATAATTATGATAACCATTATTTTATTTCATCGAAAGGTCTGAAAGTACTCGAAGGAAATGAGATGCACGAAGTGGATACTTTCTTTGACATAATTTCACTTATATTACAGAAACTCTAAACGAGACTCAAGGGGCAAAGCAACGCACATAAGCCAAAAGCAGTATCCCTCCATATTTATTAAATTCGTGCACTACAAGGGTTCCTTTTCCGCGTGGACCCTTTTTTCAACTGATCCTTTAGAAACTGACTTTTCTACCAAAATGGTTACTCAAATTATCGACCAATGACCTTTATTATTGAGAGAAGGCCAGTGGTGTTTATGAACCTTTACTTCCGAAAGCACGGCGAAGGGATAGTGAAGCGGGAATGCCTACTAAAACAAACAGGAGGGAATTCACTATTCAGTGGATAAAGAAAGCCTAGCAAATCATAGAGAAGATATAGATCCTACTTGCTGCTCATTCCATCCTTCCGAGTTCCTTAATCACTTAAATCATCCGAGTGGACATTTAATACTGCGTTTTAGAGGCGCTATAATTTTCGGATATTAGTTGCATTCCGAGCGACATACATGTCCATGTTCTACGAGTGTATTCCATTACTTGGGACTATAATAGTAGTCACTCGTCGAATCATCTACCCCAAGTCCTCCCACACAGTTTTTTATCAACTAGATCTAAAGGATTTTTCGTCTCACGTACAAGAGTTGAATGAAAACCCGACGTTTTACTTTCCTGTTCAAAGCTATTTGTTTTTCTCAATTCGATAATACAGAAGCAGTTTTACATCCTTCAAACTTCCTGAGAAATTAAAGTAATCCTTGTTTTTAATAGTGATCAAGTCTAACCAACATATGAGTACTGTAAATCAGTTGGAGGCTGATGCTCGTCACTCATCTAAAATCCCAGTTCTTCTGATGATTTTACACTTCGATGAAAAGACACACCTACAGTTATGGGATATAACCTAACAGGAGAACCAACTGACAATGTGGCTGGCAGTACAAATTAATTATTGATAATTTATAAATCCACTGTAGACCAACAGAAAAAATTCAGTAGTATTAAGCCTTTCATCCAGCTGTGTGACCCATCACAAGATGTTTGCCCAGGATCACTTCTCGACACTGAGAGCTTACTGGACTTTTTGGCTGCAGTGGCTGTTAAGATCATGTCCCCAGGTAATGTCTTGGTTTATGACACACCAAACAGAGAGCCTAGTGCAAAGCTTGGAACTTCAATTCTACAAACTTGTGATATGTCATTAACAGACCGCCAGGTTTTTCATCTTCGTAGAAAATCTGCAAATACTCATGTTCGATGCTATTTAAGTTGAATTCTGCTTAAGAATATAGGAATTTCGTGCTGTCTGGAAAGAAACCGGCTCTTCAGCACCCTTCACCAACATTCGGCCTGCACCTGACTTAACCTCATGCCAAAGATAGTGCCGCACAGGAAAACTAAATGGTAAATGTTCCTCATAGTATGTCGTCTAATGATTTACCTGATGATATAGTACATCAGACATTCTAGAATGTAGAAACAAGTATTGGTCAAGTTGGAGGTGAAGACACCGCTGTGAAAAGTGAAATGGTGGACACAGGTATGTCAACAGAAATACTGACACGAGTACCAATAACCCGAAATTATAAAGTCTCGAATCAGTTACATTATCTTGTAGGACTTATAGAAAACTACTTTCACTCAGACGTGGTCAATGATTAAGGAAGACATAAGGACGAGACAAGCAGCCAGGCAAGAACTGCAATTTCTGTACGATTTGTATGGTCCTTTTTCTCTATTGAATGGGGAATGTCCTTCTGTGTGCTTGAGTAGATTTCTCCCACTTCACCTGCCCACCACTGGGCAAAATCAAGTGCTGTCTTCTATCACCACACACGATATCGGTCGGCTGTTTTGCGTTCATTTTAATATTAAAGTGAGTTACTAAACTCTCCGTCTCTCATTTACTATCCAGCTCACCAGTTCCCTTGCTGAGAAGTATCAATCCCATGTGGCTACGCAAGCTGACAAGTTTTAAAGACGGAATGATAAACGTCCCATTTCTATAAAGAGAGCAAAAGGTTCTAAGGTGTCTAGCCAACCCAAACTCCACATGACATGTTCCACTTTCCCTACTTGCTATCGTGACTCAGGAACACCTTCTAACTGAGGACTTTGGAAACCATCAGTAATCGTGTCGTGAGAAGCTGACTGCCAGAAACTTAAAACACTAGTCAAGCGCTTAATAACTATTTGAACTTCAGTTCAACTGATAATAAAATACAGATCGGAAAGTCAAAGGTTTATAGCTAAACCAGCAACAAACCAATAGGACGAAGTTAGCAATGCAGAAATTTGACCAACTAGTTCACAGTTGAAAATGTCTTTGTATAAACGTCAAAATCATATGCATTAATACTTCTGATCGTATTGCTTTGGACTTCTGCCAACCAGGAAATGATGGACCACTCCGGGGTTTGTCGACCTCAACTAAGTTAGAACCAGTACGAATAGTTAGGGTCTTTGGACATCGCCACCGGGACATCGATTCAATGTTCACCAACATTCATGCTCACCCGGAAAAAAGCGGAACTATAACGTTATTTTATTACGACGAATCACGTTGACTTTAGCGTAAGTGGGAAACACTGCTGCAAACTGCATTTATGACGTCGATAGGTAAACGTCACTAATCCGCCGTATTATCGGCTACAGTGTAGGGAAATGTCTTACGGTCAAAGTACCTGGAAGTGGGAAGGGTTTGAGCGATAGCTTCGTAATTATCAAGAAAGCTGGGGCCAAGCCGAAGAGATATGAAAAATCGGAAGTCAATTCGGTTAAGAAACCCAAGAAATACACTTCAGCAACATTGGGTTTCGTAGGTGAGTGGGTTTTGGTTTTTCGTACTTCTTCAGCCAGGCCTCAGCTTTCTCTGCAACTCTGAAGTTGCCATTCACACCTTTACTTCTTCCAGCTACTGTGACCAAAAGGCTTTTGATGAAATTAAAATATGGTATCATTAACCTAGTTTTACCAACTTGCCGACTAGGTGCTTCAAGGTCATTGGTGCGTTCGCACTTCGTTAGCGCTAAAGTTCAATTTCCCATATATTTTTAATAAAGTGCTTTGTTTACTTCTGGTAAGATTCCTAAATGGGCTGTAGAGTGTTAACTAGGTTGATTTATCACTAGTCGTATTTTTATATGACATGATAGTAATATTCAATTGTTTATTTTACATTCATTCATGATTTTGATATAAATGAACATTATTTAAGATATCATTTCTTAATATTTAGCGAAATGAGTGAACCTTTCCCCTGTTGGTTGAAAATGGTGGGTCAAAGAACGTGCATTATAACGCAGAAAATAATAGTTTTGTAAGTAGTTATCTCAGTCGACACAGTTTCATCTTGAAAGCGTTCATCGAAGAAGCTATTATTACTAACTGGTGATAGGTCCCAATGAATAGACAGTCCAGAAACCAATCTCGATTGTAGACTTTACATATTTTCGTGAAGCTTGCATCAGCCCCCAACGTAGTGGTTAGTGACGAAATCTCACAATGGTTTCAAAAGACTCATTAAGGAGTCATCCTTAGTGGCAGCGTGGCATCCGGTTATCTACCGAATGACATGTAGCAGTCCTATGCGTTTAGCTGCACGACTAAGTTATGGCTGTTAAATGTTAAAATTAAAAGGCTATCTTTGACTGTAGATGTATGTGTTTAGTCTCCTGTTCGGTAGTGCAAAGTGGTCATTATTAGGGAGGTTAGGGATATTGTTGGTTAAGGAGAGGAAGTCAGTTGATGAGGTTGTGAAGCTCCATCAGTTGTGATGGTTAGAACATATATTACGCATGCTGAACCATCGCCTTCCTCAGCGGGAGATGTTAGGTGAAGTAGAATCGGTTTGGAGATGCGTTAGGTGTAGTCGCATCGAAGCGTGATACTGACTCACTATTTCTCTGACTATTAGTTTGAGTCGTATATAGAAGTGCAGAATGTTTGACTGAAATCCTTAAGGGGGTAACAATTAATAGTTGGATGTGGCTGAGAATTATTCTTAATGACGCAGATGCATTGACTCTACATGAACTGCTAAGCCTATCAGATTCTCACTGATTTTGTTAGTTATATTCCCATGGAATTTCTGCTTTTTGCCACCTCTCTGTGGTTTATAAAGTGTGACAAGTTAAACTGCTACACTTTTGTGCAAAGTTCTACCTGGAAAACTCAGTCTTATACTTCTAATTTTGTATGCTTTCCTGAAGTATGGCAACATGAGCTGATGTGCTCTGTGCCAAGTTTTCACGTGTTTCAGTATGCGGACAGTGGTTGGGCATCAATGGTTTACGGTGTCTTTTGCTGTTAGATTGTTTTTCCGTGAGGCTGAACTGTCGTGTGCAAGAACACGTTACACACTCTTTTATCAATGATTAAACATGGACCGTTCTGAATCTCAGAGTTCTAATCATGTAACGTATTTGCTTAGTGCTATATAGTTTTCCTTATTTTTTCTCATGGAAAAATTTACAGGTTAATTGATAGCCGTGGTAAGTAACTAGTTGTTTTCGTTTTCGTGCGTGACATCCACTCAATCACTAAATCTTGTGGCTTGAGATTGTAGGTAATATGACTGAGAATCACTTGCAGTGACACAGTTTTATTTACGTCCTGTCTTCTCTTCAATTTCCGTAAGAAATTTTCTGTTTACCATGCATTTTCTTCGTCTATCTATCAAAACCAAATTCACCTTTAAGTTTGAAAAAACACTTGGGCATTCGGCATATGATATTAATTATTGTAAATGTTTTTGTACTTCCCGATGAAAAAGCAAAAAGATATTGTCTTTACTGAAGTTTCCCTAGTTTCAAAATAGTAACATTAAACTAGAATTTACAAAATCTCAGCTGACATATGCAGCAACGTAATCATAGTTCTTCAGCGCGTGGTAATTTTTATGTTGTCAAGTTGACTAATTGCTAAAACCATGTTATAGATAGTTGGATTTGAGAAGCGTATGGAATTATAAAAACTGTTTGTGTTTACATAATGAAATTGCTAATCACATTTATGTTGATTTTCTCATTTTTTGAGGGAGGGGGTTGTTGCAACCAGGTCAAATCCTGTTTTAGTCTACCATTTCTATTCAGACAATTCGGATTCCGTTTGATATGAAGTGCTGCTGATATGAGACGTTGTTTGTGATTTCTGAAATTTTTCTGGATTATTTCAATATTGTCAAAATGACTTTTGTGGCCTGATTCTGTAGCGTGTAGACAACTTATGGGTGATGGTTTTTCAAGCTTCTCTAGTTCAACTGGATTTCTAGGATGCTCTACGGTGTTCATCCCTTCTCATCTTAATTTCTCACGACTTTTGTTTGATGTATACTGCATCACATTCCAAGCATTTTATTTTAAATATCGGGACGTTTTTGTGTTTTTTAATCATTGGGAAGTACAAAAACATATTGAATTTTCATCTGTTAGCACTTAACAACACATTTGAATAAACTTTAGTCTGTCCTTTATCTTCTCCATAAACAACCTGATATGGTCGAGGGTGAGTAGACACCGTCTTCCTCTCAAAATGTCCTCATTTGGCCAGATATTCATTGCCTCTGTCAGGTAATTTTTATCCACTGCCTTCACTTGGCATCGGTGTTCCTCACAAAAGTGAAGGGGCGAATACGAACGTCTGGCGCTTACAACTGGAATGGTGAACATACAGGTCTACCTAGGAGGAGCTGAAAACCAACTGTGTTCATTGGTTCCAGAATCTGAAGGAGTCGAATGGGATATGAACGTGTTTTCATCACCGGAGACCATGGGAACGCTGGTGCATTGCCTTGCAGATCAGACTTCAAGTCAAGGATTTGGGGGTGGATGGGTGTAAAGTCGCTTCTTGAGATAACCACCTGCTTCGCTCTAGGCATACAGGCATTAAGTATTCTAGCCCTCGCAAAAACAATGTGTTCGTGTGACGCATCCATCGGTAACCATAATGTACCGATTTTGCGTTTTAATAATATCTTTCTTCCTACTACCCTTTACTTGAGCCCATTTTGTTCGATTTGGCTTTTTTCTTCACAGTGAAATAATTTCTGTCCATGTGGTTTCCAATTCTGTTTTTAACCTGTACTTTTTGGTACGAAATATATGCATTTACCGAGTACTTTATTTCAGTACAGAGAAAAGCCCTATAAACTGCTGGTGATGAGTTCTACGCTGAAATGAATTGAGTGGGACTCGAACCCATGACCCTTCGGCTGGGTGGAAACCAAGAGCTTAATCCAATGAATTACATCTCCATGCAGCAAGGAGGTAGTAGTGTGGTGAGAGCTAGCTGCAAGCCAAAAGTTGCAGACAACAATTTACGTAAATGTTTACGTCCCGAATTGGGGTCATGAGTAAAAACGAGAACAAAGCCTAATCTTGAGGAACTCAACAACCAACCACAGCAAACTAAACGTGAGCAAGTACGATTCTTAAATATATGACTTCACTTTCTAAGAAACGGTCACAAGCAGTACAGAATAACCTTCAACAAGAAAACAACCAATCAAAAGACGTTGCTTCTCTGCTAACAATAACGCTAATAATAATTAGTACAAAAATCTATAAATATCTCTTGATTCTCTCAATAAACGATCTATTGCCTGGCCTTTGTCTCCTGTCATTACATTTGGTGTCGCTGCCTACCGACAAATGGAAAACCTATACCCTGTAGTGTTTGATGGAGACATATGCACCTTCGGGCAGGACTTCGAGGCTATTGCGCAGTTGAGTGGCGTTCAAGATCCGTCAGCGATGAGGCTGTTGCTTGGAACGCTGCTGGGAGGTCGGGCGAAGGCAGAATATGAAAGTGTTAGGTGAAACACCGATGAATGCGCGCCAGGGTCAGGCAAACAGCTTCCAAAGTGAGAAAGACCACATATGGTCACTGTGAGACAGTGTTATGTAGATACGATCACAAATGTAAGTAAAGAGAAACAGGTGAAAGTCAGCGAGCGCCGGAATTCTAGGCAGTGAGACAAACGAACAAAGCCATGCGGCTTATATACCTTTCATTCTGTCACCTTTTTGTCAATCAGGCCTATATACACGTGTTCCTTTAATTTTTTCCTCCCTTTTCTATTCTTAGCATTTTTGTCTAAACCAAAAAGTAGACAGTTAATCAAATCTGGGAATAAAATCGTATATCTTTATGTATAGTGATGTATAGATCAACTATCTGAACCCACTGTCAGCTTATTTCGAGGAATATTGATTGCCATAAATTATTTTTCAAATTATTAAATATATACAATGGAAACAGCCTTTCGTTACGGAGAAAAACCTATTGAATTTCAGTTGGAACCTGATGGTGAATACTTCTATTTAGCATCTGAGGTAAGTTACACTGGTTTACCTTCGAAATAGCCTTTGTAGAGTGATTCAGTAGAAGGTCGTATTTTCATATACAACTAACTAGCTAACTTATAGTTATACAATTTTTAGATTCTAAGATGTCTTGACTATTTCTTTCAGGTTAGGTAAAGATTTGGTAAAGATGTTCGGATTGTGTTTAAACTACGTACGTGAAGACAGGTGTAGTCACTCGAAGAGATCCAGAGTTTACTATTTACTTAGTATTATTCCCTTAGGTTCCGAGTGGAACATATAGAGCTTCAACAGTACATTTCCATATCATCCTGTTCTCTGTAGTCCTCTTCAACTGGTTCCACGACTCACCGTAGACTATCATATCCTCTTCACATAACCTCCTCCTCCATGTCGCCCTCCTAGTAGTGCCCAATCCGTCGTTTCCCATTCGGGTTCCATTCGAAGGTCTGGCGCATGATATCAACGGTCAACGGTTTCCTCAACATTTGTCTGATTCATCACCATTTCCAAGGCGTACTGAACTTGAAATCAACCAAATTCCTTGTAACCAACTCTTGAAAGCTAGTCTACTGCTCGTTAGTGACTAACTATAGGATGAAATTCCTGGAATTTCAGGGACAATTCGTGACTAGTGAGGAAGTCTACCAAGTTGGGTGTAAGGACGCTTACGCGCCGATGACGTCGGTCTGTAGTGGTTGCGTTGTTTATCGCAAGTTGACAGCAGTTAAAATTCATGGGTCATTGGATCCTGTTCCAGTGACTGAAATGGTTAGCAGGCTTGCCACACGTGATTTGAGGCTGGCTCCTGGATTCTATCCCTAGTGGCTTGGGGTTCCATCTTCGGTAAGGACGAAATAGCTGTCCCATAAACCTTGGTTTTCAAGAGTTCTCTAACCGCTCAGTTCATGATCTATCTTGAATACAGACAAATCTTTGCAAAGCAACATATGTGAAAGTTCATTTATGATTATCCATATGTGAAGCGGGTAATGAAATGTTGTAGAACCGGTCGGTCGGTCGGTATTTGACATAGAACTTTGCACATATGTGCGCCAGTTCAAGTCGCCACACTCCCTCCATGTAGCACACAAAGCAAAAGAAAAAAGTAGGAGAAATGCATAATATAGACAATAAACAGAGGTGTCAGACAAAGGTGTAGTAATAACGAAGAACAAAACAGTTTCATTGGAAATCATAAGTCACAAGGAGTGGATGCATCTGCGCCAGCCATTGAGAACGATTTTGAGCCATGTCACCAATTGTTTCCAACCATTGGTTTTTGCCGTCCCGAGGACCCCAACTAGTCAGGAAGTCTACACCTTCCTACGTGGCTTAGACTAACTGTTGTAGGTTTCATTGACTGGTGCCATGTTTACCGTAGAACCGGTAAACATTTGCCATATTACATTGAGAGTGTGTTAGTGGCACAGCGATAGAATGCTCGTCAACCACGCCTCATGTGGTCCGAGGTTCGATCCCCGCCCGGCCGACAAGGCACTCCTTAACCTCGCTAAGCCATTAATAAGACTGGTAAGGAGGGAAGGTTGGACGCGAGGCTAGCAACCCCATCCATCCCGTGAAATTAAACACCACTGGTACTGAAACTCCAAAGTTCTAGCTTGAAGGTGCCCTATGTTCTACTGGGAACGTAAAGGAATAAAAAAATCATTTATATTCAGAATGTTGTATAAAATACCTTTAGGCGTATCAATGAATTTCAACACTTACATTCGTGCATGAAATCATTAAAAAAAAGAGAAAACATGAAAACAATGTTTCTTAATTATCGAAAACGTATCATTTTTTTACCTTGTTTCCGGTTTGTGTTTTCAGGTGGGCCGATATCTTCGATTATTCCGTAAAGAATTATTCAAGAAGTATCCAAATCTATGGAAACGTTTAGTTACACCGGAAGAAAGAGAAAAGTTAATTCAAATGGGTATGTACCTTTTTGAAGTTTTTTTTGCTTTTGTTTTCTTTTTTTTCAAAAATCACTTTTAAATACTCTAAAGTTATGATGTTCGATTGACTAACTAATTAATTAGTTTTCAAGTGTTAGTTTGCAAGGATCTGATCAATTTCAGGTTTTGATCAGTTAGAAAAGCACTTGAAACCAGGGAGTACTAGACGGCCGTTTCGTCCTCGTTGTTTGAGACTCTTCTCTAGTATTCACCCATGATTTCACACTCTAGGAATAGAACCCCGGGACTTTCTGTTTACGAGGCGACTTCGTTGACCATTTAGTTATTTCACGGGTGCATACTGTCGAAGAGTCCTAAGAATGGACGAAACAACTGTCCAGTATTCCCTGATGGTCCTCTAACTGAAATCATCCTTAGCAAGATGCCTCTTTAGTAGAAACCAACGAATGTTCATCGAGGAAGAAAGAAAGTTGACACAAACTCTGGTTGATAATAATTATCCAAACAAGTTCATTAGGAGATATAAAGTAGTCAGACCCACTGTCCAACTCACCGCTAAAAAAGACGTGTACATCAAGCTACTCTATATATAGGTGATCATAGCAGCTCAACAAAAGTTGAACGCTGCTGTTAAAAGAACTTTTATGCAGCTAATATCATAATTATTGAGAATGTGAAGCTGATATATCCATCTAAGCCCTTAGAACATGTGAAAACTGATGTCAATTCCCACTGTATTTACCAATTTGAATGTATGTGTGGCCAAACAAACACGGGGAGGACTCATCGATTTCTGCAAGTAAGGGCTTCACAGAATATTCCTAAATGGCTTCAAAAGTAAATAGAATCCCCAGAACCCCTTTAATGGTGAGAACAGGAAACCTAGCTCCTCTATTGTGATACCTATTATAGAGACAGGACATAAACTTGATGTTTACACGTCTTTTAGACCTATCTATAGAAAGTGTTTGGGGAAGGACGTATCCTAAAGTTTGTGGAAGCCCTAGCTGGCAATTAGGAAGTTTAAACTAGTTTTATGCGTTCAAAGCAGTAATTCGTCATCACACTAAACCTTCCTTAATAAACTTTGTTTTGATACCAGGGCAGATGTGCTGTTACCTTCCTGTTTTGGTTTAGTGATCGTCATTGTTATTTTGACTTTCAATATGTCCTTTTAACTTGACCTAAGCCTATTTTCTCACCCCTTAACCTATATTAGCCATAGCAGAACATGATATATTGGTAATAAAGTTAGCACTACAAATAAAATAAAAACATTTACAATTATCAGATGTCACCAGGATAGATAACTATCCTAGCTTGAGGTTGAAGGCCATGAAAGGGAGACGGATTAAACATACTTCTTCTGAACACAGAGATTGTTTTGCAAGTTTTTTATGGCAATCGAATTCGTACAAACTTTGGAAATTGAAGTGACATTTTGTAAAGAATTGTTGAGGTCCTTTTTCTATCAATCTTGTGTCCCGTATCCACAAGGTGTTTCAATATAGAATTCCTGATTAACGTAATGGGAATTCACTTATTAAAACCTGAACTCTGCGATTGTACCATCAGGTGACATCACATGCCAGGCTCTCGACTGGAACCCGAAAGGGTAGCGGCGAGTTGGTCGTCAGTGTGAGGGTGACATGGAGGAGGTCATGTGAAGAGGAGATGAAAGCATGGGGGCGAACTTGGAGCCAGGTGATGAAAACGTTGGCAGACAACCGAACGCAATGGGGACGTGCGGCTGAAGCCATATGTTCCTCTAGGAACTAAAGGATATAATAATAGTAATAACAGTAAATACGATTGTACAGCTTGAGAATGATATCTCCGAAAGTAAGGGTAACTCTTCGCTGAACGCCTTTTCTGTTTTCTATGACTCAATGCTAATTTTTAATTTGCTTAAATAATAATCATTACAGTGGATTCTTTTGTGTGTTCTTAAAAAAAATAATTATAGGTCTAGCAACGCCTATCACCGCTTTGAATGCTATGCTCCTACGTACTTATGAAGTGAATGAAATCATTTGTGAACAAGATCGTCTGGCTGAATTAAAAAGCAGTCTAGTCATCAGAGATTATTCATCAGCTTCAAATAATAATAATAATCCAAGTGTTGTGAATCCCACAGGTCTACGTAGTAGTTTCTCATCAGTTGGAAATGCTAAAGGCCAGCTTTCTTTTGGTGGTAGTGCAGGTGGTGGTGTTGGTGGTCGTACAAGTCTTGGTTCAAGTGGAAATCTAGGTACAGGGAATAGTCTACCTGGTACTGGGAATACTACTACGACTGGAGTTATCGATCATACAATTGCTACAAGTGGTGGTGGTGGCGTTGGCGGTAGCTTCAAATCGAAACGTGACAGCAGCAGATGGCTTGGTGTTAGTTCAACACCGAATACATCATTCCACTTGGACTCAGTTCCTTGTCCAACTCCTATTAGCCGATTACGAACAGGTTAGTTAAATTCGTGTGTTTGTGTTTGTTTTATCGTTACACATTTATATATGCTGTGTTATCATTCTGTGCTTTTTGGAAGTGTGTTGGCGGTTGTTACTTCCCGGCTGCCCACACCGTGGAAGTTGATTGACTCTTCAGGTACCTGAAAAAGAAAGAGGGTTACTGTTGCGTCACCGCAGAGCCCAGGGGACAGCTGATTGAGGCCACCCCATCACACACGTTCTGTATGAACTGGTTTCTTGGTTTGGTTCCGTACTAGTAAACTTACCGACGGTTACGGACCACCGTAGGATAAGTCGAGATTTACGATTTTCTGGGGTCGACCTTTTCTAACCCCCTCTCTCCGGAGTGGAGAGATAGCGTAGCTGGCATGCTGGTCATCTGAGGGGAACACCTTACTGCTGCTGTTACATCCCTGTTCTCCAGCAGTACGACTTCGCCCTCAGACCCCCCAGCATAGTGTAAGAAAGATTCTTACACAATGCCGGTGACTGCTTTTAGTCTAGTCACCATCCTAACAACCTTCCTGGCATGATAGGACCAGCAGGAACATTGGTTCCGGCCAGTGCAGCTTGTTGGGTCATCGCGATGTGCAAGCCCGACCAACACGTCAAGGTAGCAGCTATCGGTCGGGTGTGTTGTCATTATCCTGGAAAAGATTGGTTCCCACTGCATAAGAGCTCTTTTTGGATGCTTTTGGTGACCAATTTTGATGGCCAATCACTGCCTCCTCAATGTGCTTGTGGTTGTCGTCTGGGTAACCGTGTGTGTGTGGGGTAGATTATTGACTCCTCTCCAGTCCACATTCATTCCATCTGCTCTCAAAGATTCCTAGTACTTCTGTGTCATATCTTCTTACTTCTTTTATAATCTGAGCAACCCTTTCCTAAATTCGTACGTCGTGCGAGCATATTCCACGTCTCCATGCGCATTTTCGTTTTCATCAAAAAAAGGAAGGTACATTGGCTGACTGACTGTCTTCCCGAAGGCTTTCATCAGACGGTGTGACTCCTCTACTTCCACTCCAGCAAAGAATGAGTGTATTTTTTTATACTTTTCTTTTGCTTTGAAGTTCTTGTGGCAATTGGGTTGATTTTCTGGGGGGGGGGGTAGAGTTGCTAACTCCAACCTCCCTCTTTTCACCGGCTTAGAACGGGCCAGTGAACTAGTAGACTAGACTGCCTTCGCTCGATTCCGAAGATCAGATGACTGGCCAGAAAGGAAATAATTATAAGAAACTCCGAGAAGCGACAAACCAAGGAAGAACCTAAAGCTCAACAAATTGGTCGAACACACGCTGAGAAGACCGTTGAGTGATATCACACGCTAGCCAGACCCGCGAACGGAACCTAAAAATAGGATATGAAGAGCTGGGAGTCACTACGAGGTTGGCATGGAGGAGATCGTGTAAGGAGAAGATGAGAGCTTGTGGGTAATCGTGGAGCAAGCTAAAAAGGATTGCTGAGAACAGGATGATGATGATGATGATATGGAGATGTGCTATTGAAACCCTATTCCACTCGGAACCCATGGGAATAATAATAATAATCGATAAATAATTGTCTCATTAGTTGTGTCTTTTACTTGTTTATTCTCTTCTCTTGCAAGTAATTTTATACCATTAGTAAGATTGGATTATTTACAATGTGTCATTTGTTTGCACTCCAAGTTGGAATAGAAGGCTTCAAAGTTTGAGGTTTAAAGTTTCAGTAGCGATGGTGTTTTATTTTACCAGGGTAGGTTTGCTAGCTAGATAGTTGGAGGCAATTGGCAGGAAGCCTTGGACATAGGTTTCGTGCTAGTTGGCACACGTCAGCAAGGCGTATTTGTAACCTTAAAGGAACTCATGTCACTTCGGAGATTCGAACCCGCGTCACGCAGTGCGTGCTGCAGTGAGAGACGTTACCACTGAGCTAGCTATTCGGGCTCGCCATTGACCCCCTGTAGGACTGCAGTGGGTATTTTCATTGGAAACTAATAACTAGTTCCTTCAAGGTTGCAGATACGCCTAGCTGACGAGTCCCAACTAGCACGAAACCTAGGTCAGGTGAGGCTTCCTGCCGATTGCCTCCAACTATCTAATATCATCAAATCAATGTGATGGCGAGCTATCTAGAATGGTGGCCACATTGCAAACCTGACTGGCTGATAGAATTCAGTCTGCACCAAAGGAAGGACTAGACACGTCATACTAGTTACTAGTGTCCAATGAAAATAAGGTTGCGAGCCCCACACGCTCAACCTGCTTTCTCTACCGGTCTTACTATCGACTAGGCGAGGTTAAGGAGTGCGTCGATCGATCGGGAATTGAACCCCAGACTACTTGCAACGTGATTGGCAAGCACTCCACCACTGAATTACAGACTCAATGAAATATTATGAAAAGTCTTATAGATCCCACATAGTCAATGAAGGCGGTATTTCTTTCTGGTTGACTACGAGAAGTGCACAGTCGTTCATGTGTTACGATTTTAGATCAACTGGATACTGTTCTCACATCTAGTCAATAGATCCTCGGGTTTAGATCTTACTCTTCCTATTTTAACCTGTGATTGTGTAGTATCACCAACCATTACGCACAACAATTGTGGCTGGTACTTGGAAAACATTTTCCGGGCGACTAAACTATAACTAACCGACCGGATGAGTCATAGTTACAAATCCTGTTACACTAGCTTTAAAGTGTGTTTCAGTCATTTAATATTTCCCGTTAATATTGACTTTTATTGGGTGGAAACACTCGATCTCCGTTCACCGACCGATCAGCTCCTGGTACGAACATTTCGATGATGCTGCAAGGTTAACATGAGGTTTTTTCTTATTAAAGCTTGATTCCACACCATCTTTTTGGTACAACTACGGAATTTTCAGCATGTTATATCGGTAGCGCAAATTTTCAGGTCGACCATTGATATCAGGTGTGCGTCGGCAGGTGGTTAAACTCCGAACCATGTGCATGGTGGACGGTGAGAGTCCTAATCGCTGTGCCACTGACACATTTGTTTGACGGTAGCTAGCAGTAGAATGCAGGACACGCGCGCGTCTCATCCTACTCTTGTACTCGTCAGTGAAACTCGAACCCAACACCAATTTTTCAATGGAGACCAAGGATATCGACCCAATAAAACCGGTTAACAGGGAATAATACAGGTGATAGCCAGTACCCCCAATGCACAAGAGATGTCTCTTTTGATCTATTAGCCTAGAGGATAACGTTGTTGCGCATAAAATGATAGGTGATGGGTTTAAGACTGGGTGGGAACACCATTACTCACTACTCACTGAGAGAGATACACGTACATACCGTTAACGAGTTCCTAAATTAATTCTGATGTGTTCAGCTTGGAACCGTAGGGCTTGAACTTTTAAGCTTTAAGGCTTCAGTAGTGATGATGTTGTTGTTCTTTTTACGAAATGAGGTTTCTAGCCCCACAGTCAACCTTCCGTCTCACACAGGATTATCACCGTCTGAGGTTTAGTAGTGCATTCGCTGGCTCCGGGAATCGAGCCCAAATCTCCAGCGTGACTGGGGGGTATTCTATCAATGAACCACCAGTGCTTAAAAATATATTTATATATATACTTTAATATCAATGAGATTCTCACTAGCGACTGGCCCTATTCAGGTAGGTAGTTACCTGGCTTCTAGTGCAATATCGTGATCAGTGGGGTAAAGCAAGCCGGGCGTAAAGACAAATACTCGCAACCGATGACATTGACTAGTAGCTGCGCTATATCGTGAATTGGCAGAAATTGGAATCCATGGACTGGCCATTGGATCGGTTGGGTCCCAATGGCTTAATAGTTTACGAGCTCGCCTAGTAACCAGAAGGTTCGAACCCCGGTGATTGCGTGCTGCTCAGGAGTCTCAAACTAGGGGGCCGAGACAGCTGTCCAGTACTCCCAGCTGGTTATCCAATATGTCAGCTCATGATGAAATCCTGTAACCAGTCAATCAAACACCTATAAACCTGCGGATTCAGACAGATAACTGGGCTACAATCTAGCACATCCCTTTACCACCGAAATAACTGTTGCTGATAATTTGGTTATCAGAGTTAAACCTCTAGTAGTTACTAAGGAAAAAAAGACAATCTGATAAGTAGAATTGGTTCAATCTACTCTTTTATCAAAAGTAAATTACCTGAATGCCTTTTTTGAAAAATGAAGATGCATCAAAACCTGTTGTTTATAATTGGGTTAGTACAGTGTAGTGATTCCTTATCGTGATGTGAAATAAAGCGAATCTTTAATAATCCTGACATGAGAATGGTATTTTCGTGCTATGCACACCTTACGCCCATCATTAGTAAAGGTTAGGGATAAAATAGACAAAGACAATCAACAGAATTGTGTATACCAAATAAAATGTTGGGATTGTGATGCCGCTGTATATGTAGAAGAAACTTCCAGACAGTCGAATAAAAGAGTATAAGAGCATCAAACAATGCCTAAAGGTGATTCCAAAGACCTTTATGGATTTGAAGAAACTAGAAAACAAAGCATCAATTGCATTACATTCGATAGAAACAGAACACAAGATTGACTTTGATAGGACTAAGGTTCTACACGGGAAGGTTTTCATTCATATATAAAGAAAGACTGGCTACAGAGGCTCTACATAATAAATGCGGTTGAATCCCAAAAGTTTGAATGGATATGTGACGGTCATGTGATATTAAGTCCTCATTTGATAAATAAAATGGATAGGTATCATTAATTTTATCTTCTTATGAAAAAAGGCTAACAAATGATATACAATTGTTCTCCTATACATATACACACACACACACCACTGTATATCGCATACATATATTTTCTATATTCAGACAATGAACTTTTATCTGAACTTGATCCCTAAAGTCAGATGCAAGAGTGCACATTATTTACAGTGTATAACAAAACAGTGGCTTAATGGTCTTAATGGCCTTGTAACCAGAAGGCCCTGGGTTCGAACCCTGGCGGTGGGTGCATACTGATTAAGAGTCCCAAACTAGGACGAAAAAGTTTCCCAGTACTCCAACCAGCATAACCAAACAGACTCACAATAAGTCTGTGGTCAAATTTTGGTCGCTGGGTAAAATTAATCTATCATAGCCAAAGTCACAGTGACTTTGCACAACCAATCAGAATTCAGATACAAAAAAAATCACATAATCGTTAAAAAAATGCATTAGAAAAACATTGCAAACTTGATATTACACTGGGCAGTTGTCTCTTATGCCTTGTAAGAATGAATGTCTCCCAGTCACTACAAAAACAACCTATAAAGAAATCATACCATTCGCCATAGATGTTCATTCATTCAGATGATTGTAGATCATGGTATTTTCAAATCCATTGATATTTCTGACATTATTCTTTAACCTGCCCCTAACTCTGACCGTGATTTTAATCTTGACCTTAATTTTAAAAGCCATAACTCTAACTAACAGCATAGATTTACAGAAAAAGTACGTAGAGAATAGGTTGGAATACTGTATCTACCCTCGCCAAATCACGAAAGGCAGGTATGATTTGCTTTGTAATGATCTTTCATGGTATTCTCTAAATCTGATGAATTCTTGAAGACTTGACGTTTGACAGATCTTGACTTTGGCTATGATACTTTGTTGTAAGGAAAAACACAGTTTTTTTGTTCAGCGAAGGAATACTATTTCTTTTCAACGACTTCATTTTCAAGCTGTACAACAGTCGTATTTATATCACGGGAAAAAGGCATTAAATGGCACTAGAAATTGCTCAGTCAACATACATATAATGAGATTAAAGATAATTAAAATAATGTACTCTAAGGGGGTGTAGTTGAAATGGGTGAATTACAAAACTTTTAGAGACTATTAAATAAGTGAACTGGTGTAAAGATTTTAAAATTGTAGCTCAATTGTTGATAAAGCTATTAGTAATAAATAGCGAAACGTCAGTAAAAACAATATCGTTTTGTTTTTCATTCATTGGGAAATACAAAAACCTTCATTATAGGTCAATTGGTGTCTAAAAAATTAACAGTGAGTTGATAACAGTAAAGACGATGAAGGTGAAGGGGAGTGGAATGTCTGTCTGGTTTCAGCAGAGTACTTTGCACCGATGTGCAGCAGTTCGAGTCGCCACACTTCACTCAACACACAAAACCAAACAGGAAAGTAAAAAGAAATGCAAAATAGAGACAGTAAACATGGATATGAGGCAAAAAGAATAGTAATATAGAAGAACAATATAGTTTTATTGAATATTATAAATCACAAAGATTAAGTGCATCTGCACCAGCTATTGACAACAATTTTGAGCCATATCACCAATTGTTTCCAGCCTTCATTGATTTTAACATCCTGAGGACCCCAACAAATCAGGCAGTTTACACCTCCCTAAGTGAATGGCTCAAACTAACTGTTGTGGATTTCATTGACTGATGAAGCCGTGTTTTCATTTGACCACCACTGGTTCTTTCTCAACCTGATTTATCCTATGTCAGTCAGCTAACATTCCCCGTCATCGAGGAAGGCGATGGCTAGACAGGCATACGTAACACATTTCAATCGATGTGACTTCACAGTCTTGTCTATTGATTTCCCCTCTTTACGTAGCACTCGACACCTCACCTCAATATTGCTCACCCTATTATACCACTTCACACGGGAAATAGAACGCAGGCACCTATGATCAAAAACAGCTAGCCGGCCATTTTATTTCAAACTGTCGAATGAATTCAAGTGGTAAAATAGAATGAAATAAAAGAACATAACTATGACCAAGGTTTACAAAAGGAGTTTGACAAAACGTTTTTGAATACATAATTAAGGTTTTTGTCCATATATCGCTAAAGTTTAGGCTATGCTATACATAAGTGGAAAAAACGTGTGCTTTTGATGTGATTGGATTTGATCCTGCGCATAACTTTGAAGGATAAATCACGTGAGGCTGAATGATGATCTGACTCCAAAAGGTGTTCGCAGATTGAAGACTCTGTCACCTTTCATTAACCAAACCGGGTATTGTTCAGCTACGCGTTTACGGAGATTTCGTTAACAGCGTCCAATGTAATCAGTCAGCTCCACGCGAGCGTGTGAATGAGTATATGCACATAGAGGTGGATATAAGCGGCAGTTTATCCTCAACACTTTTTCAAGTCATATTTCAGCTGATAAATACTAATTGTAAGTCAGGTGCATAAAAAGAGTGCTTATTGCATTCAGATAAACGACTTTTAATTACTTCATCGCCAAACTCATAAAGAGTGTCTTCTTTGACACGGTGACTTGCCTAGGAATGGTTTATTTCTTGATGTGTCTGTCAATAAACCTTCTAGAGATATCCATTATTTAAGAGAGTTATGCGAAGGTTTTCTAGTCCCGTGTCAATCATATCTAAAGAGCAAATTTTCCGAATTCTGGAGCTTAGAGAACGGATAGGATTTCTCTTCCTACCCAGAGGTACCCAAATGATACTTTAACTTCGCCGATAATTGTTCATGTAATTTTGTTTTGATGTCTACTCATGATTCACATGATTGAACGAGGAATATAAAGACAAGATATATCCTTTGTTATTTTGAATTTGAATAATTTCCCTGAAGTAGTTGGAATTAGCCATTTCAGCTTCTCTGACATTTATACAAATATAATTTTTTGTATATATATATATATATATATATATATATATATGTCTACTCTTCACTGGGTGCGGTGCCCGATCAAATCTTGATCACAGTTCGTAGAAATCATTGTTTCTCTTTGTTCTCTTCTTCTACTTTCTTCTAGCTAGACAAGCGAGTAAATCCTTCACTTTTCCATTCTGTTTGGATGATTCTGATCCAGTAGCATTTCATGAAAATGCTTGTCAACCGGAATGCCTAGTACCAATACGATTGGATATTGAATGCGACGGAGTAAAACTACGTGATTGTTTTACATGGAATCGTAATGAACAATTGATTACGCTGGAACAAATGGCTGAAGTGCTATGTGATGATTTAGACTTGAATCCAATCAATTTTGTTCCAGCTATAGTGAATGCGATGCGACAACAGGTAAAGCCTAATGTTAAGTATTTATAAATGAATATAACAGGATTTTCATCATGAGCTGAGATCGGTTGGAAAACCACTGGGAAACCTGGGAGTTCTGAGAAGGTGTTTCGTCCTGATGCTCACTAGCAACCGACCCCATTCAGATGGGCAGTTACTTAGGTTCTTTTGGGAAGTCGTGACCAGTGGGGTACAGCAGGTCGGGTGTGAGGACGGATACTCGCCACAGATGACATTGGTTAGTGGTCGCTCTACGCCGTGAATTAGCAGAAGTTGGAATTCATGGGCTTAATGGTCTACGAGCTCGCCTTGGGTTCGAACCCTGGTGGTGGATGCATACTAGTGAAGAGTCCCAAACTAGGAAGCAACATCTGTGTCCAGCACTCCCCACTGGTTTCCCATTGGTTCTCTAACCGATGTCATTTCATGATGAAATCCTGTAACCAATCAAATCCCTGCAAACCAACGCTTAAATTTTATATTTAATCTTTCTGTCTCTGAGTAAAATGATACATTCTGGTATAGTTTTACTTTTTAGGACGTGTGTGACATTTATTATGGCTGTTAGATGTGGCCGGTGACAGCGGAAGACTGGAAGAGGTCAGCTGACTTTGACTATAGTTGGTTTTCTGTCTTTATTCCCGTATTAATTGGTATAAGACTGCGAGTAATATTCACTTTAGGCTTAGACTAATGAATAGGTAAGAAAGTAGAGTCAACTGATTAGGTTTTCAAAATGGTGTCGATCTAGACGGCTGGGACACATATGACGCATGTCCAGTTGTCGCCTTCTTCGTCGAGTAAGGATAGATGAGATAGAATTAGGTTGCCAAAGAGTGCGTAGTGGCCAAATCTAAACGTTGCGTCAATCCATGAAGTCCTTGACTGTTGGTTTGAGTTAATTCCTAATTACATAAAACTATATGCATTACCGAATAATTGAGATGAACAGTTGAATATGACTAACATTGACCAGTAGTGCTTTATGATAGCAAACCAGATCGAAATGATCCAAACATCGGACAGCCGGCCACTCTCATAAGTGTGGCCGACCTCATCAGCGATGTGTCCAGTTTAACTCAGCTATAAGACCGTCGAATTATTTCAAATTGGCGAAACGAGTTTCCGGTGTTTAGATCACTTTCGATCTGTCTAGCCAGCAAACACTACTGCGGTATACAGAACTACTCATGTCAAACAATCAGTAGTATGTGGTTTTTAATGCATTTATGTTTGGTATTCTTGATTACCATTCATGGTATCAGACAGATCACATATTGTGGTGAGATTAATCACGTCTTCAAGCTGTGTAAATTGCATATTGGGAGTTTAATTCATGTACATCTTCAAATGATATTAATTTTGTGAAATATGCTGACGATCTGACTGTATCTTTGCCTGTCAAGTGTTAAAGTGACTGCTCCAAACTAAATGACTTTTTATCAGAAATCACCCAGTGGTCCAAGGAAAACGGTGTTACCTTAAATTCCTCTAAATATCAAACAGTCAATTTCACCTTTAGGCATAAATCTGTCCTAAACAAACTGGTTAGCACTCACGAGGTGTGCAACATAGATGGAACTGAAATAGAAACCAAGTCGGAAATTAAATACCTAGGCGTGATTCTATCTGCTGATCTTTCCTGGTCGTCTCATATCTTGGCGATTTCTAAGAAAATATTCCGTCTTACTTTCGACATCAAGAAGTTAAGAAATTCTGGTATAACCCAACCCGTACTCCTACAATTCGTTAACTCTCGCATTCTGCCTATTATTCTCTATTGTCCCCCCTTAGTTTTTCCCGGGCTACTGAAGAAAGACTATAACATATTACGCAGGATGTTAAAGGTTGTCAGCAGGGTAAGCAACGTGCCACTTAACCAGCTTGTTAATATTCTGGTTGACAGGCACTTAGACTCATGTGAGAAATGGGCTAGATCCATTTTATCTAACTCACACCACCCTCTTCACTCAACTCTCCCCTTGTATCTCATCACGCAGGACCAGAAGCCTTTATAGAAAACTATATGCTTGCACTAGCAATTGCAAAAACTCAACCATACCCTACTTAGCTTATGTTCTGTGCAACAAAGAAAGCATTAGGCGTGAGACCTATAACTTATTAACTAGTCAGTAGAAAAACTGGATCTCGTCTTTCCAACTCATATCGTTTATAGGTACAACATTTTCTTTCTTTCTTTTCCTTTTTTCTCTCTCTTTTTTCTGTTGTTCTGCTTTGTTTCTTTCTTCCGCTTACGCCAGTAAATATGCTAGCACCTACTTTTCTAACACCTTCAAACATTCTGTTCAGTTTTGGCTTTGCTACCGATATGCTAATATGTTGTTGTCAAAACTAACTGAGACTACTTATAATCTATACAGAATTTTATTTATTGTTAATGTGCAAACTGGATTCAATACTGTAGTAAAAATGCTGAGAATTCCACTCTGTATCACATGTACTGTTTTGGAATAAAGCAAATTATTATTATTATTAGACTGCCCACTTGAGCTCCTCGAAATGCTAAAAGCCAATGGCTTAAGAATGTTGGTGACATATATGTGTATTAAAATTATCGTCAGTAAAGCAGATGCATTCACTCTTTGTGATCCTTCTTATCCATTGAACCCTCGCTATTCCCCATGTAATTATTTTTTTCCCTCTCACATGTCTCTTAGTTATATTAGGTGACTTTGAATTTTCCTTCTCCACGTTTGTGTGCTGCATATAGAGTATGGCAGCTTAAAATTGCTGCACTTTGTGTGCAAAGTTCCAAGATGAATCGGTTCGTTAGATGCCACAAAGAGTAGAACATTGTGCTGGAGTTCTGTTGTAACAACAGAAAATCTTTAAATATTCCCATTTTTAATATTAGAACAAGACATATAAGCCAATAATATTGCTGTTTTCAATTAGATCTTCTTCAGGCTTTGTTCTAATTTACATAGATTTATATATATAGAAAATTTTAACCAATGATGGTGATTTTGTGGATCAAAAAATAATGATGTGGTAAATGTTTTTAACTTAGTTAATAACGATGATTATAATGATAACAAAATATTGATAATGAGGTTTATGCAGCTGGCGAACAACTAGACAGCTTAACAAACGCAATAATGAGCATCTTCCTTCATGGCTCAGAAAAAGGCCAAATAAAATCTATAAGAAGTTGTATTTTGACTCATTTGATTGGTGATAGTGGTCACCAAGTGGACAGAAGTAGTGAGTGTGACTTCAAGGTTATTTATCGCAGTCCATCAAACCTTTCAAATGAAATTCAAGCCCGCCTTTTACACACAGCCGGAGCTATGGGAATTAATTCGAGAGAACAGTCGTACTGTCTTTGCATACAACAAAAGGAGTTCGCTCTATCACCTGTCTCTCCCTTGCTTAGCCTAGGTAAATTCTAATTAAAACTCCCCCACGCATTCTTGTTTTCCATTCCCTTCGTATTTTTATGATATTTATTTAAACTCTGAATATCTGTCCACTTCACCTACCTTTAGTATTACGTAACTTCTAAGATTTCACCTAATTTATTTATTTATTTATTGAGTTGTCTACATATACACACACATATTACTACCTTTGTTATTCTTATCGCCACCTGCATAAACCTTATTATCAATATTTTGTTATCATTATAATCATCGTTATTAACTACGTTCAAAACATTTACCACATTATTATTATTATTATTATTATTATTTGATCCACAAAATCACCGTCATTGGTTAAAATTTTTATATATAAATCTATGTAAATAAGAGTAAAGCCTGAAGAACAACAGAAAATAACAGAATTGGTAACGGAGTTTTTTTTATTGAGCATTCTCAGCCACAATAAAGTTCGCCTCGGTCAGAGAGCAATAGTGTGCTCTGATTGATTGGTTATTGGCTCAAGGTTAAACAAGATTGTCCAATAGGGCTATTTCATATTCACAATGTAAATTAAATCCAAATTTTAAGGAATAAAGACTTCTACCTCTACAGTCATTGACTTAAAATGTTGATTTCAGTATTTGCCACTTCCTATCAATCTGCATCACGCCACACTTATGATCTAAGTTTGTAAGATTTCAGTTAATTTACTAGATAAATTAGTGACTATCCATTGTTCTACAGAATTGTCTGAACGCATCCATCATGGTATTCTTATGAAAGCACCAGAGTACTTTGATTTGATATACCAATATTAATCTTGGTGTGAAATATGCTTTAATAATCCGATTGATGGAAAGTGTTTTTGCGTTATTATCACTGTTGTTATTATTATTTTGGTTTCCTATCGGAAAACACAGGGAGCTTCCGAAGTACGTCAACATTTCACTCTGTCGTCTGAAGGCTTTTTTTCAGAAGGCCCCACCTCCGTCTATAGGCTTTCATTTCCTGTAGCTCACATGATCTCTTCTATGTCATTCTCGAATTGACTCTCAGATAATGCCTACTGTGTTCATCCAGACGTTGTGGACGTGTATCGCTTGATGTATCCTCATAAGAACCTTCATAGTCTTTTGTCTACACTTGGTTTTATTATGTAAGTCTCAGTGTGACTTGACTTATTGACTGACTGAGTTTCTTAATTCATGGAAAATTCCCATTGTAACGTATAGAAAATCAAAACAAGTGATTCAGTGAAGAGATTCTTTTCAACGAAATTCCAGTTGACCATTACTGTTCAATAACCTGAAGGACAAGATCCCGCTGTTGACCAACTCTGCGTGAGTTTATCAATTCACCTGCACATGTGCAGCAAGGTATTTCTGTCGTTCGACCTGAGTTTTATCCAGGAGTGTGCAAGAACACTATCCAGCATTTTGGTTACGAAGAGGTGGAATTGGAGCTATGAGAAGGGCGATCATTGAACATCTGGTCATCTACAAGGCAAAGAGTAATTTACCCAAATCACTACGCACCCGACTCATCTGTATTGCTTTGGCTATCGAAAAAGAAAAGCCAGATCTCTGTATACAGAAAAAGTTCGTTCAACCTCTCCAACTGTCATGGTATTAATCCCTCTATGCTAAAGTATGGTAATCCCTAATCATATTTTGGCTCTACCAATTTTTTCATTTTGTCTATTCAATTTGTATACTCTTCCTTTATTACAATGTCAATTGTTACTATTACTATTCTTACTTATTCCACTTGTCATTCTAAATTCTACGTTATCAAGCTTCACACAATGTTACGTAACGTTTTTATTTTTATTCTACTTGCCCTGACTTTTCCAACCTGATCCTGTGTTGGCTAACAATACCCGTCGAGGAAGGTAATGGCTAGGCATTTGCAGCGCATGTCCTAGTCATCTCAATCGAATACAGAGGGCTAGTTTCGCATATGCCAGTTTACACCGTCTCTGGCGTACACGTGATATCCGACTATCGACCAAAGGGTGTGTGTACTGCTCAACAGTCCTCTCCGTCCTCCTTTATGGTTTTGAGACCTGGCCATTGAGAGCGGAAGACATGAAAAGAGTAGCTGTCTTCGATCATAGGTGTCTGCGTTCTATCTCCCGTGTGAAGTGGTGGTATGATAAGGTGAGCAATATTGAGGTTAGGCGTCGAGTGCTAGGTAAGGAGGGGAAATCAATCGACGAGGCTGTGAAGCTACATTGACTGAGATGGTTAGGACATGTCTTCCTTATGCCTTATCATCGCCTTCCTCGACGGGCAATGTTAGCTGACATATAGCAGGCTGGAAAAGAGCTAGCGGCGGTCAAACGGAAACATGGCACCAGTCAATGAAATCCACAACAGTTAGTCTAAGCCACGTAGTAAGGTGTAGACTTCCTGGTTGGGGTCCTCGGGACGGTGAAAACAAGTGGTTGGAAACAATTGATTACATGGCTCAAAATCGTTCTCAGTGGCGCAGATGCATCCACTCCTTGTGACTTATGATTTCCAATGAAACTGTTTTGTTCTTCGTTATTACTATTCCTTTGTCTCACACCTCTGTTTACTGTCTATATTATGCATTTCTCGTACTTTCTTCTTTTCTGGCTTTGTGTGCTACATAGAGTGGAGTGTGGCGACTTGAACTGCCACACATATGTGCGAAGTTCTATGTTGAAAACAGACAGACATCTCCATCGATGTCACTCTACAACTTCATTGATTGACTTACCCTGCTCACCTTAAACAATGCCTAACCTCCTTATTACTTACAACACACAAACACCTGTGATCAAAGACAGCTAGCCGGCCTTTTCATGTCTTCTACTGTCAATGGCCATGTCTCACAGTCATAAAGGCGGGTAGAGTGAACTGCTGCACAGTGCACATGTTCTCCTTGTGTGAACTGTGTTAATAATCCAATTCAGTTTCATTATGTCACCTACTTGCTTTACTTTTCCCTTTTTTGTTTGATAATAGATTGAAGCACATCCAGTAACCGATTGTTTAGTTGGACAAACTGATACACGTGTTATCATCCGATTGAATATCCATGTTGGTAATATCTCACTGGTCGATCAATTTGAATGGGATCTCTCTGAGCCGAATAATTCACCAGAACAATTTGCTTCAAGATTATGCGCTGAGTTAGGCTTAGGCGGGGAGTTTGTTACTGCTGTCGCCTATAGTATACGTGGACAACTGGCTTGGCATCAAAAAATTTATGCATTTAGGTAATTTTCTCCTCTGTGATTTATTTTATGCAAAATTTTTGGTATTTTTCAAGGTAAAGGGTTTGGTTAGCTTCATTAAAATAACTGTAGTGTACTACGCAGTTTGAAAATCTGCGACAGTGCACACTCATGATGACCCTGACTTAGGGGACGAACCCAGCACGTTCAGGTTACGAGACCAGTATGTAAGCCATTTAGGTACTGGGTTGGAATTCAATAATCAATGAATACTGTCTAACAATCCCCGATATAGTTTTATCGCCAAGCAGTGTCAGTGATGCGCATCCGCCTAACCGTGACTTAGTACGGACTCCACCGGTTACAAATTCTCCTTAGAATTTCAGGAAACCTATCCTATTCAGATTGTGTGCGTTTTATAGGGATTTCTAATGATCAGTAGGTTGGACTGGTAGCCCAAAGGTTCTGGGACTAGATGGAGAGAGGTCATAGTTGTTTGTAGAAGATGTATTGGAAAGATTAAGATTCCTGGTATTAGATGGTTGGAGGCAATCGGCAGGAAGCCTTGGACCTAGGTTTCGTGCTAGTTGGCACTCATCAGCAAGGCGTATCTGCAACCTTGAAGGAACTGATGTCCCTTCCGAGATTCGAACCCGCATCACCCAGTGTTGCAGTCAGAGACGTTACCACTGAGCTATTCAGGCTCGCGACTGACCTCCTGTAGGACTGTATTGGATATTTTGATTGCACACTAGTCAGTAACTAGTGTGCAATCAAAGATTAAGATTCTGTCCAAGAAAAACAGCGTCGTATCTCATATTTTTAAGGAAGTAATCATGCGATCAGCTGTCTCACGAATTTATCGGATGAAGCCGTGCTAAAAACAAAAAATCATATTGTCAAAAATAACTGTTGATGGAAATATGTTTGAACAACGCTGCATAAACAGATTAAATGAACGGATCTGCAAACTGAACTCCACTCATAGATAAGTAATGATGTAGCCTCTATAAAGTTCATTACGAAAATAACGAATAAGAATGACAATCGGCAGTTGCTTAAACATTTAAAAATGTGTAGAAAAATAACCCGTTCACAGAGATTCATGAATTGCCATCCAGTTCAATCGTTATAAGAAGAGGGTAAATACAAGTGCCCTCCAAGAAGAACACGTAAACTGGAAAGATTCTCGGACGACCAGGGAAAAGAAATAGACATTTTTATTCAAGATTCTCTTTAAAAGAAAAGCTGCTATCTTGAAAAAAATTACATAAAGCACATTATGTGTCAGACTGTGCATGGGGAGTGAGAAGATAGGAATACGCTGGAACACCGATAAGAAGACTCTAGAAGATCTGTTTTTCACACGTGGGTGATTTATGTTTACTGTAACACAAACTCGAAGACTGCTTGAAGAAGCAGGCTGGTAGCGAAGACAGGACTTCAAGTGAACATAGAGAAAACGAAGGTGATGAAGATAACCAACCAACAGCATCAACCATCATCAATGGGAGGAATTTGAAAGAGGTTACTTCATGGCTTTACTTATCTAGGAAGTATTGTTTCAACCACAGGCAGTCGGAAGGGCTGGAGATGTCAAAGGTAGCTAGAATCGGAAAGGCATGATACACCTTCTGCACTCCGCCTTAGCATAAAGAACAAGATCCGAATTATCAACACCAATGTTAATTCAGGCAGTTCTTCTATGTCGATCAGCAATGTGGCATGCGTGTCAGTAAAAGCTTTTCCAACACCCTACTGCAGACTCTTATCAACAGCTGCCTTCTCTGCATATTGATAGTTAAATGGCCAAAAAGAATTAGCAATAAGGAACTGTGGGAGCGAACCAACCAAGAACCGATTGCTCAATAAGTAATCGGGAACAGATGGAGATGGATTAGGCATACGCTAAGGAGACCGTTGGGTGACATAGCTCGCGAGGCCATTGTGCGGGTGAAACCTGAGGGTGACACGGAGGAGGTCGTGTGCGGAGGGGACGAAAGACTGTAGTCATCCAAACATTGAATATAAGAACAAACAGGTTCAGCGTTAGAGGCTACAAAATGGTTTTAATAGAACTATTAAGCAGTAGTATTGAAGGAAATAACACTTCATTATTCAACATTTCTGAAAATTTGATTCTATTTCCACTTTCCCGTTGACTGATTGCACCGAAGTGTGCTTGGCCTCAGGTTGATATGTTGTCGGCCTCTTGTGCAGATGCTTGGACGATGTCTGACTATTTAACTTGAAGTGAATTGGTGGATGGCAACTAGCAGTGGAATCCAGGATGCACGTTTCATCCTACTCGGGACTCGTCAACCGGATGTACCTGCAAATAATTACCGATACCCGTTGCACAAGTGGGGGGTGGCTATCGTGGTCTAGTGGATAACACTTTAGCATCTGAAACTATGATGTGTTCTGCGTATACGCCTCAGTGAGAACAACATCACTGACTGGGGAATGCTTTGACTATATCATAAGGTTAGCATAATGTTATTCGGTTGACTACTGTGCTTCCTTTCGTTTTGTTCAGCATGTCACCTACCTCTTCAGTGTGTGGTGTTCCCACCGGGACTCGAACCCAGCACCGATCATCTCAAACGTCAAAGCATTATCCACTAGGCTCATATCCTCTATGATTTAACATGTATCTTATCAAGTATTGGTTTGTAAGGATTTGATTGATTGGTTACAGGATTTCATCATGAGCTGACATCAGTTAGAGGACCATTGGAAAGCTACCTGGGAGTACTGCCAGACAGCTGTTTCCTCAGTCTACTTCGGGACTCTTCATCAGAATGCACCCGCTGCCAGGATTCGGACCCAGGACCTTCTGGTTACAAAGCAATCTCGTGGACCATTAAGGCACCCACTGAGACCCAATCCAATGGCCAACCCATGAATTCAAACTTCTGCCAAATTCACGGCATAGAGCGACCACTAACGAATGTCATCTGTGGCGAGTATTCGTCCTCACACCCGACCTGTTGCACCCTACCGGTCACGACGTCCCACTAGAACCCTAGATAACTGCCTACCCGAATAGGACCAGTGGCTAGTTCGAACCCCAGCGGGTGCGTACCGATGAAGAGTCTCAAACTAGGACGATACAGCTTCCTAGTACTTCCAGTGGTTCTCTAACCAATGTCAGCCCATGGTGAAATCCTGTAACCAATGTATCTTATCACTTTTTCTATGATGTGTGGAACACACGCACTGTGTCATCACATGAATAAAACTTATCTTAACTGAGATGTGTGTATTTCTCTCTCGTTTTTCCTTTTTTTTGACACACACAGTGAATCTCCATTGCCAACAGTTGATATTGTATTTCGTAATTCTAATGAAGCTGATCAATGGAGTCCAGTGGTTGAAGTGTTGACAGATGCAGAAATGGAGAAAAAGATACGTGATCAAGATCGTAATACAAGGTAAGCATAGTAATAGTTCATCAGGGTTCATACTTAGATATTATCTGGATCGAGTTGTTCTTTTTTTACGGCTTAAGGTATCAGTATCAATCAGTGTTAAGCAGCAGTGTTTTAATATTATTCCAGGATGTCATTATCAAAGTCTATTCATAAACATGCGAAATAATAATATATCAGGTTGATCCATACTATAGCCTTTGTTTGTAAGATTCTACTCTGACTTACGTATTATACCATTTGTAGAACCTTTGGAAACCAGCTGAAATTATTGGACAACTTTATCGTCCCAGTTTGAGACTCTTCAGCAATGCGCGCGCTCATCCCATCAGAGATTCTATCCCAGCGACTGAGTTCGCCTGTTAACCTGGAGGTTCTGAGTTGGGGTGATGGATGTGCACTCACTGTTGATGAGTCCCAAACTTGGTGGACGAATCAGATGTTCAGTGCTCCCTGGTATTCAGTTGTTTTCAAATTGTGACATCAGCTTGTGTTCAAATGTTTTGAAACCAAACAAATCCCTGTAGACCAAGACGTATCTTTTGGCAACTCAATTTTTGATCCCCGCACTGAAAGATCACGTCACATTCTTGTCCCACTTGACACACTTCTCCTTGTCTGAACTAGTCAGTTGAATATTAATCATTTTATCTGTCTGAATTGCATCGACAACTAAATGATCAATAAATGTGGTCTTTGCATCTGGTTACATGACACTGCAACGGTACATATTTTGTTTAGTGTTAGAAGTCAGTCTTCATTCATAAGGTTGAACACGAGGCAGACGGATCCTTGTGTTAATAATGAGTAATTGTTTAATGCCAAGTAGAAACAGATTTCCATCACTCAGTTTCACCTCTGTTTCTTTTCGCGTTTCCGTGACCCACTAAGGTAGAAAAAGTGTGTTAAGAAAGCCAAGTTGAGGAATACCTAGAAACGTATTGTACGTGTTACTTCAAGGACAAAATTGTGTTTTTTGAAGCCTCTACTTTTATCGTCACAGGTTAATCTATTCTATATGCACTACTGGTAGAGCTGTGACTCATTGGTTAAGGTACTTGATTTCCAACCAAGTGGGTCACCTGGTTCGGACATGGCCCCACCGACTCATGTTTGGACAGCCAGGTATTAGTGTCATTCCTAACTGCATGAAGTTACAAGTAGTTGTTTGGGTATCCCGGGCACTCTCTGGCTAACCATCAATTGACCTGCTTTACCTGGGATATTTGTGGTTCACAGTGAACGCATCTGCGCTATTGACAACGATTTAGAGTCATATTAGCAACAATCTGAAGCTGTTGGTTCGTAGCATCCTAGGGGGACCCCAATCAGGCACTTTACACCTTCCTGCTTGGCTGGTTCGAACGGAAAGTCAAGGATTTGATTGGTTGATCCCAAGTTTTAGTCTGTCCACCACCTCTAATACTGCTCGACGAGGAAGGCAAGAACTGCATACGGTAACACACATATCCTTTGTCTCACACCTCTGTTTACTGTCTATATTATACATTTCTCCTACTTTCTTCTCTTTCTTTGTGTGCTACATGGAGTGTGGTGACTTGAACTGCCGCAACTATGTGCAAAGTTCTATGTCGAAAACCGACCGACCGACTCATCATATTATGCCAGATGACACAGAAAGTAAAACCCAAACATCTGTTGTCAAAGCCAGCTAGCCGTTTCATATCTTCTACTTTCTATAACATGCGTTGGTGGCACAGAGGTAGAATGCTCGCCAGCCACGCATGTGGTCCGGGGTTCGATCCCCGGCCGCCAACGCATTTCTTTACCTACCAAACTCAGTAATAAGACTGGTAAAGAAGAAAGGTTGGGCATGAGACTACCAACCCCATCCATCTCGTAAAAATAAATACCACTGCAACCGAAACTTCAAGACTCTAGCTTGAAGGTGCCCTATGTTCCACTGGGAACGTACAGGAATAAGAAAAAGGACCTTATATGACAATGTCTCACAGTCATAAAGGAGCACAGATCGAACTACTACGCATTCTACACGTCCTTTGATTCATAGCCAGTCGGATGTCACGTCTACGCTCTTGAGATGACGTAATTTGGTTAAATGTCTCACAGTCATGCGAGTTGTTTTTGTACGTCGCATAGCGGAATAAGCTTTATTACAGCTAGAATATCGAGTAATATAATACAAAACTTATTTTCATGACACGTTATCAAACTAACTGTATACATGTATTGCTTGTGTGTTTACTAGGCGAATGCGTCGTTTGGCCAATGCACAACCGAATTGGTGATCTCGTCGTCGTCGTCGTCTCCTTTTCTTCTTCCTTATCAATCGATGTCCAATGTTCTTGTATATTTATTTTACTTTTTGTGTTATTTAAACAATATAAATAAATAAATAATTTGTAATATGAATGTGTTCGTTGTTTAAACAAGTGCTTAGCGTATACAAGTCTTCTACCTAATAGTAATTTAAAGTGCACTGCGATACCAAGTCTGCTAGCCTGACGATCATATTTCACTGACACTGATTACAACACAGTTCGTCGATGGTTCCAATGGTCAGGTTTCAATTCCCAGTTGACACACTCCTTAACTTCGCCTAGTTGGTAATAAACCTAGAATACAGGGGGAGGGTTTGGCGTGGTACTGACCACATCATCCCGTAAAAAGCTTGTGGTTCTGCGTTCCCTGTGGAACACAAAGGACCAATGCAATGTAAACTTTACAGGAAGTCGGTCACAGGTTCGACTGGTTCAGTTGTACTATTTCTGACTGTAGCACTGGTTTATTTTATGCAGGTCGGAATATCATATGGGGATAGTGATTCCTTCAACGGAACAGGCACACCTGGCTGATGAATGCCGGTGAGCACGAAATCTAGGTTAGGCATGGCTTTCTATCTCACCCGTTTAGTAGTAGTAATCCTTGGTCACTATGGTGTATAGTGGTCTAAATAACCTCATTATTGAGTTTACATCTTATCTTCCTCCAGTGACAATAAAGTGGTAAATAATTTTCAAGTATTGGTTTTGTAGAGATTTTGTGTGATTAGTCAGGGGATTTCACCATGAGCTGACATCAGTTAGAGAACCATTGAAAAATCAGCTAGGAGTACTTGACAGCTGTTTTGTGATGAAATTCTCCAACCACTCAAACAAAATCCCTACAAAACCCCTATTTCAAAATTAACCTGATGCCCACTAGCAACTGGCCCTATTCAGGCGGTTACCTGGGGTTTTAGTGGGAAGTAGTGACCAGTAGGATGCAGTAGGTTGAAGGTGAGGCAGTAAACTCATCGAAGAAGACATTGGCTAGTGGTCGCGCTATGTCATGAATTGGCAGAAGTTAGAATTCATGGGCTGGCCATTGGGTCGGGTCCCAGTGGCTTAATGGTCTACGAGCTCGCTGACCTTGTAACCAGAAGGTCCTGGGTTCGAACCCCGGCGGTGGGTGCGTACTGATGAAGGGTCCCAAACTAGGAAGAAACAACCCACGGTAAATAATTCATCAAAATTATTAGCCTACAGCTTTTGTCATTCCACATTAGTTACTGGCCTTCTCTTATCGAGTTGAGTGATTAATCTGAAGGTACACGGTCAAACATCCACGACATTTTAGCCCGCTGTCGTTTTGCGTCCAACCATCTGTGCACACTCCCCAGTTAACTAAGCAGATATTAATGCTCGACGTTTCTGATCCCGAAACATATTTCATGTCTTGAACGATCAAACTGTTGTTCTGATTTGGCTTTCTAACGTTTATCTGATCATACAGAATAATTACATTGGTGGATGGAGAGTATATACGCGCATTACCGAATAATTGTGCCTTATACAGTCATCCACACTCTTTGTACCCTAAAACAGAACACTTATCACATATATGTATGTAAATCAGCTATATTTTTTACGCAACTGTGCTCTGTACAATGTCAAAATATAAAACGGTACGTTGTGCCACTTATCTCTCAGTTATTACCATGCTCAAGAGTAGATTGGACCCTTTTAGAATCCTAATGAATGCCTTTTTGCCTTCCGGATTTGTATAGAATTCCAAATTAAGTATTCCATCGTAATCAGTACAAATCCCGCTGAATCTACCGATGCTTTGGCAACTACGTAACATCAAAAGCCTTCAAACAACCCGTATATCTTATTACCGAGTAGATACATACACACCTAATTGTCACGTAAAGCTTTCTTCATTCCATGTGCCATACATTGAGGAGCGAATCAGATAGTTCAGTCCTAACCAGTTTGAGCTTAGCTCTCCTCCAGTGGAAAACAGTCAGACACACTTTACCTTTATTACTATTGCTCCCTGGGGTCTGAATGGAACAAAGGACTTGAACAGCACACCTCCATTTTACCCTATTTCCTACTGTCCTTTTTGGCTGGCTCTACGTTAGTCCATAGTCTGTCATCTCCTCCATGTCACCCTCCAACGCATCGTTTCCCAGTTGAGATATAGTCTGGCATGCTATGTCACCCAACAGTCTCCTTAGCGTGTCCAACCCACTTCCATCTTCTCCTACATGTTTGTTGGGCAATAGGTTCTCGGCTGGTTCGTTCCCAGAGTTTCTCGTTGCTGATTGTTTCTGGTCACCTGATCTTCAGTATGGAGACATCGAACGTGGTAGCTGTTGATAAAAGTCTGTAGTCGCCTGTTGGAAATGCTTTTCGTGACGCTTACGTCAAGTTCCTAACCCACATAGAAGGGCTGAATGAGTTAACATAGTTGTTGAAAATTCGAATATTGTTGTTTGTACTAAGTAAAGTATATTTCCAAGCTAATTTTGGAGTGATCAATGTGTGTCTTGCCTTCCTTCTTCTATTTTTGACATCCTCATCTATGCAGTCGCCTGTAGTTCAAACAATGCTGCCTAGATAAGAATTCACTTTTAACATGCTCAGTTTTCTTTCCTACAACTTGAATACATTGTCTGAAGTGTACAGAAATAGAATACAGGTATTGCTGCAATAAAGTCTCACGCTCCTATTACGCATACAACGACCATAGTGCTTAAAGACGGTGAATAACACAAGCAGTATAACTGAGAAACGTATTAGATCTTATATGAAGTATTGGGAAATTAATACTAGTGTTTGAGAGACTTACTACAATGTTCGAGTTGTAATCTTTCTATTATATTTGTTACTTTCCTAGCTATACCTAAATGACATCAGGACCTAGTGCTGTAATTCTCGAGGTGTTCAAAATTCATAGTGATTTGATAGTGAAGTAGGTTAGCAAACTTATGAGGTATCATCTAGAAATCCGAGATAGCTCCAGAGAACTGGTGTAGGTTGTTAATTACATCTACATTTAAAAGTCAATCTGAACGAAGAATATTCTTTTCAATAATTTCTCTTCCGGTTCTTACAGTTATAAAGTATGATATTTTATTTTTATTTTTGATTACAGCTTGATTCCACACCGTATTTTCAGTACAAGTATGGAATTTTCAGCATGGATATCGGTAGCCCAAATTTACAGGCCGACCATAGATATCGGGTGTGCGCCGGCAAGGGATCGAACCCCGGACCATGTGCATGGTCGGTGAGAGTCCTAACCACTGTGCCACCGACGCACAATAAAGGCCAGTTATGCGGCAGATATATTTTTAACGTAGAATAACAGATTAGTTATGCGGTGTCAAAATACCCCACACACTACAAATCTATTATGATTAATCACAATTGTCTCCCGTTTTACAATATTTTGTAATCGAATTCAGCCTAGCACGTTTGTCACACAAAAAACGACTATTTATTTTGACACCCCATAACTACTAATCTGTTATTCTACGTTAAAAATGTATCTGCCGCATAACTGGCTTTTATTGTAACGACAACAAATATTATATTTTATAATTGTAAGAACCTGAAGAGAAATTATGGAAAAGAATATTCTTCGTTCAGATTGACTTTTAATTCATAATATGGGAATTTTCCACACATCCACATTTAACGGAAAAGAAACAAATCCTACTGTTATAACAGCAAGAAGATCGACATTGTATCTAAGATTCTTTGTATCATAGACAAACGGCGAATCAATGAAACTCATTGGTAAAAGACTCGAAAAAAACTATGTAGGCATGAACAGTGTATATCTTCATCCTACTGTAAGACGTGGTCGTTGCAAGTGGAAGATTGAGACCAACCTCCGATGTTAGGCGGTGCAATAATGAGGTTAGAGAAAGTTGATAGATGAAGTTGTGAAGCTTTATCAATTGAGATAATAAGGGTATATGTTACTCACAGCCAATCACCATCCCCTCCCCTCTTTAACGGGAAATACTATTTTGAACAGAATTCGATTGAAAAAACGTTAGGAATGGTCAAACCAAAGTATGGCGTCCGGGGTTCGATACCTGGTCGATGAATTCCTTTACCTGGCTAAGCCGGTAAAGGAGGGAGATTGGGCATGAAGTTAACAAACCCATCCCACAAAAGCAAACACGAATGCCACTGAAGCTCCATAGCTCTAACTACCCGCCCACCACGTGGCTGAGGGTCCTTGACATGTTGACATAGATAACATTTTGCCCTCCCCAATCCCGTAACTCAAACAACTGAAAAATTAAAGAAAAGGTCTGTACATGTGTAGTATGAAACTGATATTATAATTTAATTCACATAGAAAAAAAGGGTCAACAAAGCAATCGGTTCAGCGATAGCAGGTTTGTACACCATATTTTAAAAAGGCCCATGTTCTTCAAGGAGGAGGCCTATTCTGTAAGTCGATTTGCAGCATTTAACGACCTTCCAGTTGTCTTTCACGAATATTCACCGATTCATCAAATTTTATCACATACGCTGTTCCTTTATACCAAGTTGCTGAAACTGTACAAGGCTAGAAATAAAAGTATAAAAAATATATGCACAAATATTATTATTTTTATTTATTAAAATACATATGGGCGCCAAGAGGTGCGCCATACTGAATATTATACTTTGTGAAAGGACTGGAACCGAAGTTACCTTAAAGGGTCACCGTACGAGTCTTTGACCTGAAGTCTCATCCGCAAAGCAGTGGAGCATAGTCAGGAGTTATGTTCTCATGGATCCCCGTAACCAAATCAGGTTCATACGCCAATCGATCTGTTCGGATTCTGGAGCTTATGTACACTTAGCTCCTCGAGGTAGCCCCCCACCAGTCCGATTGCCATCCCCAGATGTTTAAATTTACCCTTTAACTTTTGTGAGGGTCGGGCAAACGCTGAGAAGACCATTGGATGACATATCATCACTCGAGTGGGCAATTACGCGTTAGGCGTTCGAGAGTGACATGGAGGAGGTCATGTGGGAAGGAAGTGAGGGCTTATGGGCAATCGTGGGGCCAACAGGTGAAGAGGACTGCAGAGAATAACACAAAGTGGAGATGTGCTAGTGAATGGTATAGGAACTTGTCTTGTAACTGGAAAGTCCTGGGTTCAAACCCCGTGGTATGGGTGCGTACTGCAGATGATTCCCAAACTAGGATGTAACAGCTGTCCAGTACTCCCAGCTGGTTTTCTCTAATTGATATCAATCCATGGTCAAATTCGAAAAAAAAATATTATTATTATTATTATTATTATAGTAATAAAGCCTGATAAGAAATTACTGAAAATACGCATTTTTATTATTATTATTATTATTATGACAGTTCCAGACAGATAAATTGAATAGCTTTTTATCCAACGCATCAACAAGACTGAAATAACAACAATAAACAAACAACTTACAAAGCCAATATTCGATAAGAACGCTTCAACAACTCCAGCACTGAACGCTGCCACATTAAGCGGTGTAGCTATATATGAATGACAAAGGGAATAAGACGAATTATCTTAAGACAACTAGAACAACAACTGCTCACCTGTTTTACGCTTTTCATCTTTATCTTCATAGGTGAAACGTGTAAACCGATTAACCAATGGTTCATGTTCAATCATATAAACTAAATAAACAGCGCTATAAAATCTAATCTGTATTTAATGAGGAAAGCATACAAATATTCTCGTCGACACCATCACGTTCTAATTCATCAGCTTCTTTGCCAAAGATACTTTTCCAAAAGTTACTTTTTAAAAATATCAGCGCATTGTATAGGCGAATATCACGTTTCTGTGGTTTATCTCGAGCATAGACAACATCGACCATACGTTCACCGACCGCTTTACCAAAGTCGGAAAGTCTATAAAAAGAAAAGAAATATTATATTGTGAAAATTGCATAACTCATTAATATAAATATGTTTTCATTTTATTTTATTTTTTTACGAGTTGATCACGGATTGATATCAGTTAGAGAACCATTGAAAACCAGCTGGGAGTACTGGACAGCTGTTTCATCCTGGTTTGGGAATCATCGGCAGTACGCACCCACACCACGGGGTTCGAACCCAGGACTTTCCGGTTACAAGGCAAGCTAGCTCGTATACCATCCAGCCACTGGGACCCGATTCACTGGCCAGTGCATGAATTCTAACTTCTACCCATTCCCAAACTAGGATGAAACAGCAGCTGTCCAGTACCCCAGTGCTGGTTTTCAATGGTTCTCTAACTGATATCAATCCGTGATCAACTCGTAAAAACAAAATAACTAAACCTTACAAACCAAACTATAGAAAATTAATCTGATGCTCGCTAGTGATTTGCTACAGGATGGAGTTTCCTGGAGTTCTAGTGAGAAGTCGTGACCAGTGAGGTCCAACCGGACCTCACACGTGTGAGGATGGATGTCCCACCAGCGACATTGGTTGGTGTTGCGTTAAATCACGAATTGGTAGAAGTTAGAATTCATGGACTGGCCATTGAATCGGGTCCCAGTGGCTGAATGGTATACGAGCCAGCTTGCCTTGTAACCCGAAGGTCCTGGGTTCGGAACCCTGGCGGTGGGTGCGTACTGCCGATTATTTTATTTTATTTATTTATTCATTTACCTTTTTATTTATTTATTACTGAAGTGTCTTTTTATCACGAGTCGTTGTCAAAACATCCTTGGATGTTGTAATGCTAGTGGTCGTTCTACAAAATTCATCGGACCAGTCAGTTATTATTATTATTTATTATTATCGCTAAAACACATACTCCATTATGGGCATCACACAAAAAATAATAAAAACAGAGAATAAATTGGGGGACATCATCCAGAAAGCAAGAAGACATACACTTGTCAAGATCATTGGAGATTCATGACTTCGTGTTACTTTCAGAAAGGTAAAGAAGAAAAAGAAGATTGCAGTATATTAGCCATTGACTGCGATTCTTGGCCATATCTGATAATGTTTTCAGTCACTAATTCGAACTATATCTCGGACTCGAACCAGGGAGTCGTGATGTACACAAATACCCTTCATCCCAAGATGCTAAATCATAGGTTAACCACCACCTATCCTCTTTTTCCAAGCAGTCCCAGGACAAGCGAACAGTGACCAGTACACAAGCCTTTGGAATGACATTCGTGGCACGTACCTAAGCCACCGAAGTAGATGTTTCAAGATGATTGTACTCAATAAGTGGTTACCTCCACTGTGTCCAAACACACTCTGCCATCCTAAGAATCACTTAAACGATGATGTCAACAGGCGCAAGTAATTCAACGGTGGTCGAAAACACACAGATTCACTCCACATCCTCAGATGGAAAAGCTTAAGCTTCACAGGCGTAGAGTAAGACTGCATCCCCCAATGCATTGTAAACCCGACCTTTGATAACCGTATTGACAAAACGACTACACCAAAAGTGGCCTAAATCAACGTATGCCACCCTAATTTTCACTATACGACTAGCGCGTTCATGCGTCACACCTCCGCCAGCAATATCTAATTAGTGGAATATCATACTTCCGAGAAAAAGAACCCCACAGTAGTTTGGTGAAATCACTTTTCAGGTTTCCAACATTGGTTCAGACAGTCTTTAGGTATACTTCAGATTCTTTTAGGTTCACTTTTATCCTTACTTTTATGCAGTTTGCACGATAATTATTTGATCTATAGGTAGTCTGAACTAATTTTTAACTCTTTGTTCTTCAATTAGCACGTTTAATTGAATTCCTAGTTATCATGACTATGGCATTTATGAGGCTTGCGTGAAGAGCTAATAACAAGATATGTCTATTTAAATAATGTTGGCCTTCTCTAACACAGTCGTCATCTTTAATTTAGTATCGATTAAACAAATTTATGTGGATTAGATTCAATCTCTTTAGAAATTGTAAAGCTTTTTTATATGTTGTTTACTAGTTGTTATAGTTTATCTAGAACAGTATGCTTAATGACAAAAAAAAACATGTTGTCTACATATATTAGACACATTCTTCTCATTGCATTTGTTTCTAATGAGTGCATAAACCAATTGTCTATTTCAATGGAGACACCAGTGATCGCATAGCTATACTATGGCATGCAATTCGCCCCTGTTAAATGTAAAGTGATGATGCTACAGGACTGGACTGGACTATGTTGACTCCTAGAATAAAGACAGGTAAGAGTGAAGTGGTGGCTGAGGAAGTTGCATCAGCCGGCCCCAACAGCTTGATCACAACACGGATACAAAAGGCTCGTCTAGCATATGCCTGCTAACTTACGCCACCTCTGGTTTAGTAGACGTTACATCCGGCTGGTTGGCTGGCTGTCAACAAAAGGGCGTGTGTACTGCACATTAGCAGTTCGCTCTGTCCTCCTTTATGACTGGCTGATTGTGAGACATAGCCATGGAAAGCCCAGCTAGCTGTGTTTGATCATAGGTGCCTGCGTTCCATCTCCCATGTTAAGTGATACAATAAAGTGAACAATACTGAGGTTAGGCATCACTCCAGTGCTAGGTGAGTTGGAGGAGAAATTTCGTGACTTCTCATGCACATGCACACTATTGCATATGTAAGGTGTAGACTCGATGAACCAGGATTCAGTAATCAACCTCTCTCTCCACCCACCTATATTACTTTTTAGAATTCTTAACCTCCTCCCACCCTATTGTGTGGTTGTGCATTAATGCATGCAGTGCGATTGCTGAGTTTTTTTCCAAATTAATTATCTTCATGGGATCAGTCATTTTAACCTTAGCTAAATTCTTATTTTCTGATAATCTCACTACCCCCCATCCACTGGTCTGACCTATGTAGTTGACCTCACTCACAGTCATTACAAGGTATTTTGTAAATTGTATTACCTTATCTAATCAATTTTTACTCATGTATATAGACGAAGCAAGAAAGTTATATGAGTCGTGCCTTGATATGTTATTATGAGTAGCAATGATAAATTGTGCTCAAAATGTGGTCATCCGTAAATATTCTCTGTATAACACCAATGTGTGTGTGTGACTTTATCAAAATAAAAATTTTTTTCCATATAATGGAAGCCTCAGGCTGGTCGGGGGTGGGTGCCTTGCGCTGCGGGTTGGCCACCCCTCCGCACACCTTGAAATGTTCCCATATGACCAGCCGTCTTACATAGCCTCTCCTGAGGAAGTCCTACTCACTGCCTTCACGTGGCGGACGTGTTTTTCACCAAAGTGAGAGGGTGAAAGCGGATGCCCGGCGCTCTTCACCGGGTTGACTGTCCATTGGATGACAGTCTAGGGGAGATGGCTAAACCCTGATTCCAAACCTCCAACGACTGGCGTATGAAGCTCACTGGAGCTCACCGGCAGACGTATGGACAAAGGGCTTGCTGGATGTCCTGGATGTCTGGCCCCATTCAAAAAGGCGTATGAACCGAACTCCGGTCACCGGCTGCCAATGGATAGTGGACTCCCTACTCCACTCCTACTGCCTTGTAGGTCACACTTGGTTGTGTAAAGGCTAGAGCTGCACTCTCAAACAAAAGGCCGAGCGATTCTGGGGACATCACTCGTACCAAATTCCCATGAAACTTCATGAACTCTCTTACATGGCTTGGTGCAGTCAAGGCTGATATGGAGTGCCTGGGGCTACAAACCGTCTATGGACTCCGTCTGTGGAACAAGAATTGGATAACCCTGTCGCAAAACCTTGCATCAGATCGCCGCGCCTGGGCAGCGATGATTCGAGATGTTCATGAAGTCGGCTCATCCTCCCGTAGGAGATAGCCGAAGTAAAGTAAAGTAAGTAATATAGTGAAATTAACTGGTCCAAAAAAACAAAATGATTACCTTTTCTGGACAAGATCCATACTAGATACATTACGCATTGAATATTTGACCAGTTCAACAAACAGATAAGCAAACGATGCTATATTTGCCTAAATAAATAATGTTTTTATGATATCATTCATATATGTATATCATTGATTACATCTCCACGAAATTTTGTTAAACTCTTTTCTAAAATTGCAGCAGAATTTTTTGAATTATGATAATTCATTGTTTGTCTTTTTTATCAGTCTACAAAAACAAAAATAATGCATGAATTAGTTTAAATGTAAGAAAATGAAAAAGGATTTCATACGGTATTGTTTGAGAAGTTGATTCATGAACGAGCGCGACTGCTAAATTGTCCAAGCAAGAATATAGAGGTGAAAGAAACAAACTCCTTCACCTAACTACCTGGGCAGCATCGTTTCAACTACAGGCAGAAGGAACTGATGAGGATATCAAAGCAGCGAGGATCGGAAAAGCAAGACAAGCTTTCATTACTCTCAAGTCTGTGTGGAGGTCAGCAGCACTCAGCATCAAAAATAAAGTCCGGATTTTCAACTCTAATGTGAAGTCAGTGCTACTCACTATACGGATCAGAGACTTGCACTGCGCGTCATGAAGAGCATCTCAAACAAACTACAGACCTTCATTAACAGTTGTCTTCGCTCAATACTCAAGATCAGATGGCAAGAAAAGATCAGCAATATGGATCTGTGGGAACAAACCAACCCACCAGGAACCGATTGTGCAAAAAATAAGCAGCTGGAAATGGAGATGGATTGGCCACACTCTGAGGAAACCATCGAGTGACATCACTAAACAAGCCATTGCTCGAGTGGAACCCGAAAGGGAAGCGGCGAGTTGGTCATCCAAGTGTGACTTGGAGGAGGTCATGTGAAGAGGAGATGAAAACGTGTCGGCGGACTTGGAGCCAGGTGAAAACTCTAGCAGAGAACCGAACGCAACGGAGACGCACGGCTGAAGCCCTATGTTCCTCTAGAAATTAAAGGAAATAATAATATACTCTTGGAGCTTTAATGCAGATTTATTCATACCAACACAAATTACATACAGAACAGCTGATACATGGAGTGAAAGGAGGCAATGAAATGAAAAGGTGAAACTGATGGAATGTAAATGCAGACGGGTTATTCTACTGCAATTACAAACCTAGTCAAGATCTGCGAAGAACTCCCTAACTAGTATCATCTGCTGCTTTTTCCAACAACCGAAAGTCATAATATTCAAGTATTGGTTTGTAGGGATTTGATTGATTGCTTACAGGATTTCATCATGAGCTGACATCGGTTAGAGAACCAATGGGAAAACAGTGGTGAATATTGGATGGCTGTTTCGTGAGCACAGTTTGGAACTCTTCATCAATACGCACCACCGGAGATCGAATCCAGGACCTTCTGGTTACAACGTGAGCTCGTAGACCATTAAGCCACCGGGAGTTGGGATCCATGGGCCATCAGCTCACCATGAAATCCTGTAACCAAACGTAATTATTTTCTCGGATTACTTTGGAACTACATTTTATCTATATAAGACTACGTACGACAAAGCACCGTTGATATTTTAAGTCAACCAATTCATGAAAAATTTTTTATTTTATTTTTTTTATTTTGATTTACAGCTTGATTCCACACCGTATTTTCAGTACAAGTGTGGAATTTTCAGCATGGATATCGGTAGCCCAAATTCAGGCCGACCATAGATATCGGGTGTGCGCCGGCAGGGGATCGAACCCCGGACCATGTGCATGGTCGGCGAGAGTCCTAACCACTGTGCCACCGACGCATATTGTCAACCAACCAGCTTACTAAGTTAATTTGGTGAATTGATGTTTAAGAAAAGCTTCAGATTATCACTGATTATTTAAAGAACAAACTTGGTCCGAAATGGGTACTGAGAGATGCACCAGATTAGTAATACCGTGTGCTGATTACCTTAAATTATATGATCAGCTAGATTTTTGCGCCTTTCTAAACAACTAAGTCTTTACTGACGAGTGAAATTCCCAGCAAATCTTATTCTGTCTTTTTCATCACAACAGACCAACTCCTTAGAAATATAAATGATGATGAAACCGCTTTTGTCTGGTATTTTGACGGTGATAGGACTTTGAAACAAGAACTCTGATGATAGCAATTACCCACATTTTTTTAAATTGACTCAAACTGCTCTAGTTTGTGTAGTTGTTAGCTTATCCCCATTACGTCAGGATACTTGGGTTGGCTTATGAAATACCTAAAAGATGTATATATTCGTGAATTCAAAGGTAGCTCCTTTTATTTTCATGCTTTACATCTTTATCCTCCATCTTAATGTTTATTTATGTATAAATACGAATAGCGAAAATACTTCAGCTGAACAGAATTAGAAGCCCCTAACTCAACTAAAGTATTGCCAGAAAGAATCCTCTGTTCTAACTGTAAGTAAGATGTAAAAGAGAAAGTGCTGAGCGTCGTACCGCCCTATAGAAGACCGGTTACGAAAGTCTGTTATGCTACTTTTATCCGGAGCGTAGTTTCAAAACATTTCAAGAAGGAGCACAATGTCTCACACCAGTTAACTATTGTTTTATTAGTCTTCCATTCACAATGGTCGTAGGACGTAAAAGAACACCAAAGCAAAACAAATTTGAGGGGGAAAAATCAAACAATGAGTGCAACCTCTACAGGCTATCTTTTTTTCCAAAAGCAGTCCTTCTATCTAACGCGAACCTCACAAGAAGCGAATGTATCGCGACGGCAATACAAATCGACGGTTAGAAACTGAAAATTTATGATGAATAATCCATTTCAGTGGATTTCAATGAATACCTAACATACAGCTTGACTTTAAATTTGCCTAACAAGCAATTAATGAGAAAGCTAGTCGGCTGAAAGATATGAACTTCAACGAATTCATCTACTTTCAAAATCATTCACACAGCCTTTACACAAATAGCAATATACTTTAAGCCATGGATAGAGAACGAAAAAATAAGGCCTGCCGTCCAGAATGGAAAACATATCATTCTAAAATAAATTGACTATCAGAATGCCAAACGAGTTTTGGCGCGAAAACATTTACTAATGAATCAGTTTATAACAACTTTCATGGGTAGAGAAGAAGGCGAAAAGAAACTGACTCAAGTAAATCTGTACTTTGAGGTCCTAGCTCTGAAGTATGGTAGATTAAATTTTACTAGGACATAATCGCTTTTTTGTGTGAAAATTTGTCATTTTTATGCCAAAAATATATCATCCAACCTCACAAAAAGTTGCGTTTGGCTTATGACTATCCTATTAAGACCAGTGTGCTGTTGGAAGTTGGTCAAATTAAACTTTAAGCACCAGTAAGAACCAGCGGAGTGAGACCGCATCAATGACTTTGAAGTGCTCAGTGAGCCAGTTAGTGGAACCTGGTAAATGATCGTGTAATCATGAATAAAATATGCTTAATGGTGTTATGTTAATAAATGGAATATCTTGAAAGTTTCAGGTTAGGTTCGGGAATGATTAAATTAAGGACAGGTTATGAATAGGCTCTATTCGGGCTGCTTTGAGGTATTTAGGGATATCTTCACCTTAGCATTAGGTTAAAAAAAGATTTGGGTTATTGTTAGAGTTACAAGATCTAGGAAATTACGTGCATGGAATGTGGTTAGATTACGTTTTTGATGCTTCAGAACTGAGACGTATTTTTGTCATGTCAGAGCATGGCATCTGTGTGTATTTAGGTAAGGTGGCAATAGCCCAACAACTACAATCCCCATGGACGTTACCACCCACCACTCACCACTTCAGAAAACATCAAGGTCATTTTCAAACAAGCCTCCTTTTACATACGATATTCAATATATTGATGGTATATAATAAAATAAAAACATGACTGATTGAAATTATCCCGCATGCTCAAAGTCATTGGGCAACTCTAAACAATAGGAACCCAAAACGAAACGACCTACAAACGCACAAATGACCTCGTCAAGGACCAATCAGAAGGCTCAAAAAAACGACAATAGTTGTCCCAGGCAGCACTAAGCGCTAGATAATAGGCAATAATACACATTCCCTGCGCTTAGGGGTCGCCTCAATATGTCCTTTCTGGAGGCTGGTGTCATATATCCCCAAAACCTATTACTGGAAAAAACAGTCACCTGATCGGTTGCTTAAGGTCATTTGTGCGTTCGTAGGTCGTTTCGTTTTGGGTTCCTATTGTTTAGAGTTGCCAGTCATTGAAAGAGTTTGGCACCCATAGGTCATTTACATCCATGTTGGACAGACGTTCATAAGCGTTCGTTTACACATTGACTTTCACGTTCATCCTGCAGTTATTCACAAATTATCTTTATGCACATTGTTCACAAATGCTGCATTTCATCTCACTTTTGTTTCCATTGCTGTTAAAATTAGTTATTTCGTATGTTTCTAAAGTTTTTACTACCAGGTCAGTTCATTCATTTAATTGTAATTGTTTCATACGTTGCTTTCATGCGTGGTTACAGTGTTCTAGTTGTTTTTCAGCCATTAATGAAATAGCGCTGTGTATAAGTTTTGGAAATTATGCACATCAACATGTCTGGGTGTAAAAAGCTCTTGTTCCAGTTCATTTGTTAGGTTGCCGTTGTTGTTGCTGGCTCAATTGATTACCTTTTATGTAGAAATCTGGAAAAACGATTCCTTTCATATTCATGTTGACAGAATGCAACAATACACGAGTCAGTCTAGTGAAGACAGCACGATCAGAGTTAACGTTAGCAAGGTTTTCGAAGAACATATTAAAACTTGAGAATTTAGAACCTGGGTTGAATTTGAAAAAGCTTTGAAGCTTTTCGAGACGGTGAGTATACCATCAGTTTGTCTGTTATCAGTTTAAAAACCAGACATATTGTGAGAGAATCTGGATCAAAGAAGGTTGAGCCACATGAGAAGTGTGAATCTGTTATGCTTGTATGTATTTCTGGGAACAAAAGGAAATCGAAAGGCAACCAGAAACCTCTAAAGGGTAAGTGTTACATATGTGGTGGACCTTTTGCTCTGTTAGCTTATTTACCCAAAATTCAAATAGAAAACAAAATACCAAATCAATTCAGTTTACGAAGATCCAAATTCCACAATAAACGTACTGGATTCCAGAAGTGCTGCGGGAAGACTGCTCCAGTTCTAATTCTCCAGTGTTGACGTTGCCGGAGGTCGACCAAAGTGCGTAGGAAGAGGCTACGGTGCTCCTGCAAAAATTCGAGATAGAAAGCAGGTTGTTATAATTGATCGACGGCAGTTGAGATGGTGGAGAAGACGGAGAGTCGAAGGCAGAATTATATATTTTTTTAAAACTCGAGGGAAGTTCAAAGTACAGAGAGTTTTTGGTTAAAACAAAGTAGTGTACAATATGTTCATTTTTTACATAATAGTAAAATTTGGATAAGTTTTTTTTTGAAGACTCCACAGGGCTCCCCCTCTTAGAGGTCCGGAGGACCATCAGTACTGTCCTCGTGGACGATTACATGAATATAAG